CAGGTTCTGAGCACGACATCGAGCTCCTCGATCGTACGTATTTATGATACAATAAGACCGACGACTGCTTGTCTTTGCTGACGTACTGTTGCGCTTCTTTCATCACTCGAACGTTGTATGTCAGTAAATAATGAAACTATCAGGAGAAAACAATTGACGCTTTTTACGACACTTTTCTTCAACTTCATTTCTTGTTGTTTGTTTATCTGCTACAAATGTTATAATCGACACCGTATTTAACACACTTCTACCTGTCCAATCGATCTGAAATTTTGCACACTTTCATTAAGTCAGATCCAGTGCTTGAATCGATTGACAGAATAAATAATTTTGAAAATTAAAAAATTTTTCTTTGAGATTAAAAAAAGTTTGAAAAATACTTTTTTATATATTTAAAAATAAAATAAAAAATCATTTTACATGTGTAACATCGGAGATACTGGCCTCTTTAGAAGTGTTGTCTTTTAAAAGCAATTTTTTAACGCATTTTATTCTAATCTTCTTGCGCGCAGGGGCAAAATTAATTCAGAGCTTTGACCGTCATGTATTTGCGAATTGAGTGCGCATTTTCGAGAGTTTTGCTAATATTACGGTACTGAAAAAATACTCTTTCATTTGCAGTGTGGTGCACAATGTTGCATTCGTATTATAAAACTATCACTGATAAAACTATCACCTTGTTCGAGGTATATATTTAAATGTTATTTACGAAAGTTGTCAAATGAAGATGTTTTAACTGTTCTTCTTTTTTGTTTGAATTGCAAAAGTAGCATTTCATTGCTGAGGTATATACTGCATGCTTGCTAGATCGCGTGCGTGCAACAATATATCGCGTGACAAGCTATTGGCGTGCAAGGTCAGCAGTGTCGGTCCTTCCTTATTTTCCACTCCTAACGAAGTGTGCATAAATGAAGCTAAATGGGAATACTTACTCTGCAATGTCTGACCCATTTTACGATCCCGTGAGAATTCGAAGAGGAAATGCTCATGAATTTGTCCGTTCGTATACATAACGGAATGAACGACGCTGTAAAACCAAGGTGAAAATCCAAGCGTCGAATAGATATAATAATTTTGTATGTTTAAATGTTTCTGGAAATTATGGAATATAACGGAACCTGTCCTAACAATCCGCCACTAATGAACTTGACGTTTTTTGATGAGTTTGTTTAGGATGCTTGTTTTGCTGCATGCAGTGTCCTCGCCTATTGATGGATGTTTGTAAACGGTCCTCCAACGCGTCGGGGCTTGATTAGCGACCTGCTACTCTTGTGTGTAAACTTTCTCAGGCCGGCTTACTAACTCGTCTCCGAGCCTCAACTTGGTGGAACATCTCACGTCCTAAGAATTCTTTAAAGCCTCATAGTGCGACAGAAATTATTCTGTCGTTTTGATTATTTTATAGATTCAGTTATTTTGACGTTTCTACCATTCTGAGGCACTTGGTCATCCTCCCGTAGAATATCTTTTCGATTTTGGAATATAACTTCCATGGATAACATTCAGCTTACCGTGCTGCAAAGAAATTATTATCGGGATAAGAATGTATTTTATCGTACTTCGTCGCCCTTGAACTTATTTCACAGGTAAGATGCATCAGTAATTTTTTATGTGCGCAAGTTCAATTCTTCGGAAATTGGATAGAAAACTTGCTAAGTTCCTGAAGCCCAATCAGTCTTTGTCCCTGATTGGGCTTCAAAGTTCCCTAGGCGATCAGAAGAATTTTGTCGTGACCTCGCACCATTTCTTTTTGTTCTCTATATTTTATCGTGCCGTGAATTGTTGTAAAATTCTCAATTGTTGAATTTTCAATTGTTAAATATTCACTAACGATTTATATCTAGTGCAAAATTGATAGAATAACTGCTTTGAATCGTTAATTAAAAAGCTTGGCATCATAAAAATGATTTAGAATGATAAGTTACCTCAAATTTCATGCAATCCTTGAAAACAATAAAAATAAGGATATAGGTCGAGAAAACTACTTCGGAAAATCAATATAGGTTCATCTCAACGCAGACCAGAGTGTCTCGTAAATTCTTCGTGAGATCTCGCGCACCTCAAAAGCTTAGATGATCCTAAGACGGATTACCAGAAATAGCTCCCTTGATCTCAAAGTTTCATGCTCCCAGTGACGTCAAACTTCAGTAATTGGCTATGCCATTGATGACATGTGAAGGGATTCTATGTTTGGTTTAGGATATTTGAGGTATTTTGATATTTGCAGGTATCTGAGTGAGTATGCTGGTTTCGCCAACGGTAGTAGCGCGGGAAGGGCAGGCAGGCTGTGCTGTGGGCGCGCTGCATGGTAGGTCAGCTTTAAGCCCCCGCCGAGAAGAGGTCTGGGGAGGACGGGGATTGGGGGTGGAAGAGTGATAACTTCATTCTGAGGTATCTCATTTGGGTCTTATAAAATGTTCGAGTTATATTTTGGCATCCATCTTGATAAATAAATTAGTATTTTGAACTAGCCGTAATAATATAAAATTTTCTCCTAAATACTTGAGTTTAGCAAAAGTTGTAGCGAATAATGTGAGTTACGTAATCCTCACAGGCGGCCGATCTTTTTGCAAACGTTATTTCCATCGGCCATTTTTAACGCTTAAATGCGGCCGTTTCTTCGTCAAACGTTATTTCTATTGGCCATATGCAATGCTTAAATGCGGCTGTTGTTACGCCAAACGTAGTCACTTTTAACAGCCGTAACCCATGGAAGGGAAGGTGACCGTTGTTACAGATCTTGCAAGAGTTTTAATTTCTATCGTCTATATAGGTAACCTTCAAGGCGGTCTTTACCTCAGCTTGAGTTATGCCAGCACATCAGATTTGAATTGTGGACTGAAAGGTACGGCTTTTCCGAGGCGGTTATTTAGCAGTGAGGCCAGGTCTGAGGATGGCCTCAAATGAGGGTCCTGTGAGGTCGTGAAAGCAGCTATCGGAAATGATCGGCCTTAACAAACGAGCCTCTTCCTCTGCGGCTCGCGTCCGCATATTCCCTTCCGGCCGTGCAGGTCGCAGTGCCCAATGCCGTTGTTAAACCTTCTATGGCAGCTGAAGCCTTTAATTTATACATATTACTTTACTTCGAAAAATTTCATTTATGTCGTATAGTTTAATTTAGTTTCTCAATTAGTACAAATGTTTAAGAACTCGACAAAAAGAGTGTTTTACCGTTATAAAACAGCGTGCATGTACGAATATCAGAGTATGCGAAAGTCTACTAGTGTTTTTACATTAGTGCGCAAGTTCAACTTTTTACCAGGCAGTACTGCCCTGAATATTCTCTTTTCAATATATGTTTTTCAAAGTGTTCAGTGGAATGTTTATTGTTGAGTTGTTCTGCGTTTTTTCAAGTGTTTCTTGTATTTCTGATTGCGAGTAAAATCCCCGGGAAAGGTTTGGTGGTCTGTGTTGGAGGTAGACGGTGCATGCACTGGTCGTATTAAATGTTTTTATTGCGGTAAATATTGTGCTGCAATTTCAAATTTTTGTGGCAAGGTCGATAATTAGAATCTTTAAGTTTTGATTAATTTACATTCCATATATTTCGATCTATTGTATATGACGCTGCTGCAATTCTGTGCGTTACTTTTAAACGATCGCATTTACCATTGCACGAAAGCAGTGTTTCTCTAAGTCACTTAATCGAATCCGGCAAAAGCAGACTGCTGTCTCCAGCAAGCCAAGCTGACAGAGACACATAAAAAATAAACACAAAAAAACGAGTTGCGAAGACTTGTATTTTTTGTGTTAAACCAGGCAGCGATGATTCAGAGTTGCACCTGCGTCATCACACTATTATAACGGTAAGATTTAATAGCTGTTTCTTATCGCCAGCTTTGCTGTAGTTACATCGACATGCTTAACGGACGTAGCACAGATACGCCATTTTCCCGGGCAAAACTAGGTCAGGATGACTCACACAAGGGCAAAAATGCGTCCCTCACTCATATCTCTTGTGTGTAATGTCGTCTGCGGTTCAGACGCATTTTTTACGTTGCAGAAGTGTCGTCTGCGGTTCAGACGCATTTTTTTACGGTGCAGAAGTGTCGTCTGCAGTTGAGACGCAATTATTTTATGTTGCAGAAGTGTCGTCTGCGGTTCAGACGCAATTTTTTTATGTTGCAGAAGTGTCATCTGCGGTTCAGACGCATTTTTTACGGTGCAGAAGTGTCGCCTGCGGTTTAGACGCATTTTTTTACGGTGCAGAAGTGTCGCCTGCGGTTTAGACGCAATTTTTTACGGTGCAGAAGTGTCGCCTGCGGTTTAGACGCAATTTTTGACGGTGTAGAAGTGTCGCCTGCGGTTCAGACGCAATTTTTTGACGGTGCAGTTAGTATCGCCTGCGGTTCAGACGAATTTTTGCGGTGCAGAAGTGTCGCCTGCAGTTCAGATGCATTTTTTTACGGTGTAGCAGCGTCGCCGCTAATGTGCTGTCAGCCGAACATCTGCCTCGAGTTTTGTCTTTGGAACTGATAAATGCTCGGCGCGTTTCATCAATCTTTGCCAGAGTCTTCGCGCTAATAAATCTCTTGGTCATTTTTCCTGGTTGGGCTCAAGACGAATCACAGTGCGACTTGTCTGGTGCCGATCTAGGTGTATTCACTACTTTCAATACGTATATATGCCTAACATTTCACATTTTTGGATGTGCAAGTCTCGTAGTGGATTAGTTTTTCTGGCGCATCCCAAATTCCACGAATAAATTGTAGTACTTAATTGTGACTCATCTTTGGTCTTCAAACAAATTAAGAGCTACGATCTCGAAATATTAAAATTATTTTCTCTACTTTATAGAATATTTAAATGAATCGTTAAAATAGCATAATAACTAACTGGAATGTTCTCTTCTGATTTTCCGAATGTTTTAAAGGTAACATCATATCCCGGGTATTCATGTCTCTCATCCATATTTCCACCGTTAATTTACAAACACTTGTAATCTCATTACATTTGTCGCAAGATTCACACTTGCAACTTCAACTCTGAATTCGTTACAGAGCGCATCGTGTCCCGTGAGCTGGAATCACCGACCCTGGACGAGGAGCAAGCACTGCGCGTGCTGCGCGAGCTGCGTGACGAGTGGGACGTGTTGGTGGTGCACTACATTGGCATCGTGGGGCTACTTATCCTGGGGCTGCTGCTGGCCGCCATCATGCCCGTCGTGGGGCTGTTCGTGATGTGCTGTAGGTGCGCGGGACGATGTGGTGCTTCTGACATCACCTACGACAAGCGCCACGACCCATGCAAGCGCGGCACACTCGCCGCCTTCAAGATCGTCTTCCTCGTTCTTGCATTGTGAGTCAAAGAAGATTTCCACGATTATTTCTCAATGCATGTGCTAATAATAGTTTAGATTCATTGACTTGCAATTAAATAATCATTTCTTGTGTCACGAAATTGTTTTATTTTTGTAATTGAACTGAATGATTTTATATGCGCATAATCTTGTATTATTTGTACACAAGGCTTTTTTGTGGCGTATATCAGCTTCTTACAAATATTGCTATTTATTTGTATGTATACTTAAGATTATTGAAAACGAACCATGCTGTGTCAGTAATCACTCTGAACTTTATCAATAAAGTAATCTTTCTATGAGCTATAGTTTGGTTTGGTTGTATCGCGCAGGCTTGGCGTCGTGTGTGCGTTCGTGAGCAACAGTCGCATTGAGGACGGCGTACAGAGCTTTCCTGACGACCTGCACGACGCCGTGCACGACACTGACCTCTTCCTCAACAACACTGACCTGGTCTGTACTCATAATACTGTTATATATTGAACTCAGTTCACGATGTTTTATAATTTATAGGGTCATCCATGTTCAACCCATCTTATGATGGCATCATTTCATGTGGACACCGCATTTGGTTATTCAGATTCACGTGCTTGCAATGCAAAAGATTGATCAAGACGAATAAATAATTGATACTTAAGCAAAAAAATCATGAACCAATAATGTAAAAGAACAGCTTTTTTGTCTTCATTTTGTGTGTTTTAGTTTTTCCTCGAAGATACAACAATTATGTAAATTTGAAAAAATCGCAATTATAGCTAACTACGGTATATACAAAATAATTGTTACTATTGTGAGTTGTAGTGCATTCTGCATGCATATAAAGTTAACCATCGTCGCAGAAAGTTGCCTTCATTGAGATTGTTTTATCTCGCTGCTCGTCTCGCCTAACGAGCGACTTTTCTCCCCCGGCGCAGGAAGTTCACGCCATTTTCGTCACCAACTACGGCGAGCTTCAGGACGTTCTCTTCCACAAACTGGACTGTGAGTTATTATTATATATATTAATATTATATTAATCAAACCGTCGTAATCCCATAGCACCTTGCGTTTTTATCCTGTTTTAGTATTGTTTGTCTTTTCCCATGAGAATAAAGAATAAACAACTTCAAATATGCCATGCACCTGTTCTGGCTTGTCGAATGAACTCCTCCTATCGAGGTTGTTAGAGCTGCTATACAATGAACGGTGTTTGGGTGTATTCACATAATTAAAGCAAGAAAGAATGTATGTGGTTAATATAAACTCTAGTATTTTTGTTATTCAGCAAGTCTGCTAATTCGTAGTTTAGTATTTTTGTGGGGAAAATTCACGTAAATGCTTTCTGAATTGACTAATACTATTCTAAAAGTGAATATATTTTGTTCTTTGTTTGAAAATCTGTAACTATCATCAGATATCCAGTTCATAGTTATTTATACTACCATGCAAGCGATAAATTGTATTTCATTTTTTTTTTGTTAACAATTTTGGAAACTGAGTAAGAAGTGCATCTACTAGCGAACCATGCAAAGTAATTGGTAATGTCTCGGGAAGTGGTGAGCTGGTGAAGTAGAACACAAAATTTTTGTTCACAAACGTACACGCAATGTTAAGTGATAATTGTTATGAGAAGAAGGCTGAGTAACACCTGCATGTTTCAGCGAGTGGTGAGCTGGTGAAGAAGGAACTGGCGCGCGAGATTGTTCACAAACTTGAAAGCAATATATACGTGGTAGTAATAATTTGTATAACAAGAAGGCTGAGTAAAACCTGAATGTTTCAGCGAGTGGTGAGCTTGTGAAGAAGGAGCTGGCGCGCGTAACACAGGCGGTGGCTATAGAGAACCTCACAGCCATCGCCATGAGCCTGGGTCACGTGCGCGCAGACCTCACACTGCTGCGTAACACTACGCGCGACCTGCAGGAGGTTACGCAGTACCTCAGGAGTGGTGCGTTCCTTGTCTTATTATTATCTCTTTAAACTATTATTATATATGTAACTATTGGATACTATAGTTATTATTGGTTATATTGTTATATTATAGTAATAGTTATATATAGTACGTATATAATATATATTATAGCCGTCAGTGGTCCTTACAAGTATATATTATATGGTACTATAGGATAACTATATTGTTATTAACTTTTAAAGTCGAATGTTTTTAACTCATTTATTGATCTCAATAAATATATGAAGTGAAATTAATTGTAACGATCGATCTGTAACCGTCTTTTGCCATATGTTCTTCCTAGCATTTTTTTTGTTTGATGCTCTTCATAGGTATCTCTTTTATCGTTATTTACAGTTTAAAGCGCTGTTTTTACCACTGTAAAGAAAACCTACTTCATTGCCTGTTTCCATGCATAATTACTGAAGGCAATTAAATAACTTTGTTTCCCTCGTGTTTCAAAAAGTCGTTTCAAAGCTCAATATGATGTTTTTTTTATCTCTATGTCCTTTTTATAAACGAATTGTTTTTCAATGACGACTCGGGCTCAGTATTTTGCCCTTGCATATTTGTGGAAAGATTTTTATCCAAATATAGCAAGAAAATAAGTACAATTGGTCACTGCTGATTTTTTATTTATTGCAGGTTTGTAGTTTTTTGGTGCAATCAAATTATATTCAATTTACTTCTTTGTACAAGCTCTGAATTATTGAATTTTTCGTATTATAGTAGTCTGCTGCTTGAAAATATCTTCTTATTTAAAGTGTGCATCTGGGGCGTGCTATTAAAACTTATTAAGAACACGTAGCGGCAGATTTCTCGTCTATGATTTGTGGGTTTAGCTAGAAAAGCCGGCAGTGATCGGCTGATGGATTTGCAAACTCGTGACAATTTTTGAAAGTGTGGTTCAGGACAGCCTGAATTATTATGTTCAGTCCTGTCACTTGGAGCTATTTTCTCATTTATATGGCTTATGTGAAGGGTGTGTGTTTGTTAATGACGTTGTTTGAGACAACGTTACTGTTGCGTTTTTTTGGCGCCTATAGAAGTATGTAACGAGTGGGCTATTTTTCAACATTGCCGTTTAGATTTCGTTCATATTATGTCGTTTCTTGTATGTGTTGTCTTATTTAAATGAAGTGTGTATAGAGTATAAGTTATCATACGAACATTGCCGTTTAGATGTCGTTCATATTATGTCGTTTCTTGTAGGTGTTGTCTTATTTAAATGAAGTGTGTAGAAAGTATAGGTTATGATAAGAACATGAGTTACGACAGCGTTATGACTAAGCTGTACGGGCGTTCAGGGCTGGAGAGCGTGGTGGCGCGACTACGCAAGCATCAGAAGACCTGCGCAGAGCAGCCAGAGTGTGAGCTGCTGCAGCAGCAGTTCATCGAACGCCTCCACATCAATCAGGACTTCACCCAGGTACTGCTGCTGGGGGGAGGGTGTTGTGTCTACTTATGTTGGGGAGAGAGGTTCTGGCACCTGATATGGAGGGGAGGGGGTTTACTACCAAATGTGATGTCTTCGGGTCGGTAGTGGAAGCACAATCTTCACTCGCATTCACGTGCATCTCGTTAACATACCTCACATCCAGGTGCTTCTCGTTAGCCTGACTCACATTTACGTTCCTCTCATTAACGTGCCTCTCTATCATTCCTTCCCGACGTTCACACATCCAACGCACATTCAAACTTTGCCTAACATTCACAAGCCTCGCCTAACATTCAGACGCTTCACTCAATATTCAAACGCCTCTTCTAACATTTACACGCCTCTTCTAACATTCATACGCCTCGCTCAACATTCACGCGACTTGCCTAGAATTCACTTACTGTTCTTTATCTTCACTTTTAACAAATAAAGTTTCTCCTCAAATCTGCGCCACAATCATTTGAACAGTTTGTCGAGTTTGTTAGTGATGGCGCCCCCAGGTTCAGAGCCTCCATCGTTGCTCAATGATTGTATTGCCGTAAATGGCTGCACTTTAATAATATATTACAAATGTAGTATTATTGTTGGTAAGAAAAATATAACATTACTATTGGGAATATAACAGTCCAGTTTAATCCTCAGATTGGTTTAACTCTTCTGTCACTTTATATAATTCATGGATGAAGCGGTACACGGTATCCTCCCTGGTTGTGTGGTGCTTTCATTTGTCAGTTATTCTTGCAACGGTTTTATGTGGTGTGGAGTTATTTATGGGTGTTTCAAACTGTTCTAACTATGGTATGGGTGTTTCAAACTATTCTAACTATTGTATGGGTGTTTCAAACTATACCATCGTTTCTATGGTATGATTGTTTCAAACTATTATATCGTTTCTATGGTTTTGGGCGTTTCAAAACATTCTGCCGTTTCTATGGTATGGGTGTTTCAAACTACGTTGGTTTCAAATCTCCTTACTTGACCTGTCCTGAGACAATTCCATCATCTTATGAGCTTATGCAACTATAATCTTTTTGTTTGATGGATTTTTCCTTTCTATTTCGTATAAATGTGTTTCAAAACTTTCAAGAGTATTACCTATTTATGGTTATTATGGTACTGTAACCCCACAGATTTGTGTCTCTCCTGCTGACCGTTATTCATCTGCAGTCATTTCCGTCAACCCATCAAATTACTTCAAAAACTTGCTAAACGTAGCGATGCCTTCAATCTCATTCCTAATAACATCTCTTACTCAATTCTCTTCAATTCTGTGCGCTTAGAGATGAGGATAGAAATTCACTAACTTTGTACAACCACCGTCTAACCTATCTTCAATAATTATCTATAACTCGTTACATAAGTCGAGCAGCTCATTAACCTAGTACAACTACCGTCTAACCTATCTTCAATAATTATCTATAACTCGTTACATAAGTCGAGCAGCTCATTAACCTAGTACAACTACCGTCTAACCTATCTTCAATAATTATCTATAACTCGTTACATAAGTCGAGCAGCTCATTAACCTAGTACAACTACCGTCTAACCTATCTTCAATAATTATCTATAACTCGTTACATAAGTCGAGCAGCTCATTAACCTAGTACAACTACCGTCTAACCTATCTTCAATAATTATCTATAACTCGTTACATAAGTCGAGCAGCTCATTAACCTAGTACAACTACCGTCTAACCTATCTTCAATAATTCTCTATAACTCGTAACATAAGTCGAACAATCCACTAACCTTCTTGGTTCTTGCGTGTGGTGGTGCCGGTGCAGTACCTCAACCAGTCGGTGCTACCTCAGGTAAACTTAGTTGTCGCGTGCATAGTACTCAGCAATATACCGTGCGTTTAGTGCTCGTGCATATCACTCAGTGTGGTAATGTACTCAGTCCTTTGCATGGTATCTCTTCCTCTTACCCCGTTCCCCCTGTAATATTTTTCATATGCCTTCCCTGCATCCCCGTTCCTTCATTCCTCTTCCCCCAGCCTCCACTCCTGAGTGTGGTAACATTGTTGTCCTCAAGTCATTAATTGTCTTGATAATTAATTTCATCCCGTAATAATATTAATTCGGTGACCTGTTGCTGATGCACGATTTTTCCTCTGTCAGTGTTGTTCTTTGCCCCGGTGTTCCTTCGTAGATCCTTTCCAGAGATCACAAAACCTTATGCGTGTCTTCTCTTAATTCTTACGTGCTCTCTCTTTCTCATCCTTCTATGTGTGTCATCCATATATTTCATCCTTACACGTCATCCTTCCATCACCCTCATGTCTTGTGTTCGTTCTCATGTCCTGCGTAGAGCGAGCATGAACGATTTATTCCTTTTGCAGTGCTGAGAAAATTTATATTCATGTATTTTGAATGTAATTCTCCTGAAATACTTTCGCTCTAAGGCATGTTGCGTCTCCGATGCAGAAATAAATGCTAGGATTCCATTTATTTTTACTGAACGACCGCTGTTGTAAATATGGTATTCTTCATATTATGTTTGTATTCAGTTTAAATAAGAGAAGATTTTGATGGGCTCATACATAATTTAATTGCATTGCATTGTGTTGTGATGTTTTATTGTATACTGTATAGTTTCAGTTCGCATGTATATATATCTACGCTGTTTAGTCTTTTACAACTTGTTATCTATCTGTAATATCATCCCTCATTCCTCAATACATATGGTATACTGACGCTCATGCTGTCGAGGCTTGGCTGTAGCATCTAATTTGTCACGTAGTTTTTCTTGCACCCGGTCTCAACTATTTAATCATGTGCAGTATGATATTAATGGTCTGATTTTGGACAGTTTCATGTTGTGTACGTACTTAGATTTTATAAGTTTGGTGTTGTATAGTCTAATGATCAGATGATGATATTTAGTTTGATTGATCAGATGATATTTAGATTGATATATAATATAGTTATATGACATAAAGTTTGATGTTTTTTGGTGTGAAGTTTTCATATTAACGAGTAAGGAAGACGAAGTACACTTAGTGTCGAACAGAAGCACATTAATCGCAGCTGAGACAGCAATTATTGCCCGATATTCAACTGCTTCCTCTCAATTTTTTTGTGTTTATGTTTTTTCTAACTTGAAAAGCATAGATATATTTTGTCTGTGTTTATCAATAGTCACGAAACAATAATGCAATACGGTCATCAATTGCAGAAGAATTGGAAAGCGCAGGTTAACTCTCACAAATTTTTACTTTCCTGTTATAGATTCGTGTGAAGAGTGCACATACCGCGCTAGTTGGTAGAGTGCACAAAGAGCATGGAAACAATAGCATTTACTTGTATATAATTACTTCTCTTTATGGTTAGACAGTTATATTGCGCTCATTAGTTATTATCATTATTTGGTGATTATCTTTATAATTTCTGTTATCATCATTATTTCGTGATAATGATTATTATTTATGTTATTATCATTGTTTGGTGACAATTATTAATATTTAAGTTACTATCGATGTTGCCTGCAGCTACCAAAAGTCGAGCACAAGCTGGACGAGGTCGCGGCTCTGCTGGCGGGCGACATCGAAGCGGAGGTGAAGCGCGGCAAACGCGCCTTTGATTCCATCGCTACCGAGATACAGAACAAAGTTCAGCAGTCCATCCCGGAGATAAAGGATAAGATACGGCAGGCTGGTGAGTGCTGGTAGTCCATCCCTGAGATAAAGGATAAGATACGGCAGGCTGGTGAGTGCTGGTAGTCCATCCCTGAGATAAAGGATAAGATACGGCAGCCTTGTGAGTGCTGGTAGTTATGCCGTTCCTTCTTTAATGTTCTAAACTCTTTTATCTAATTTGTTACGAGGGTAATTTTTCTTATTTCCCTGCTTTATCAAGCTTCTTAATTTTCTCTTAATTATTTACAATTATAACATTATTTGTAACGTTCTTTTAGCGGTGTCATTGTGGTCTAAATGACTAAAGTGCGTCAGCCACGTCTGCGGTGCTCTCTGCAGACCGTCTTGTGTGATGCTAACTACAGAACAACCACACTTTGTCGCGCATTATGAACTTTTTTATTGACAGTCGCCCCGCACTCGTAAACCTACAAAGAAGACGCCGCGCTTATAGCGAAAATTGTATGGATTTTCTTGGTGAGCCCTCGCGATGCCCTCGGACGATTTAAATTAAATCCATGTTGCTCCCAGTTAATTTAACGCGTTTTGTGGTCGAGCTATAGCCTGTATTAAAATGCTTATCGTTGCTCAGTCTTCTCGTAAATCAAGCTATCTTTAATAAAATAATGTGCAATAAAGTGAGAATTACCCGAGGTTTATTCAGGTGAATTAAATTGAGTGAGGTCACTGCGCAGGCGCGCAGCTGAGCCAGGCGGCTGCGGAGGTGCGCACGGTGCTCGCTGATGTGGACGTGCACAAGCACACCGAGCCAACCATCGCGCGCATCTCGCTCGTCATCAAGGAGTATGCGCCATACAGGTGCGTGATGTGCGCCCTACAGGTGCGTGATGTGCGCCATACAGGTGCGTGATGTGCGCCCTACAGGTGCGTGATGTGCGCCCTACAGGTGCGTGGTGTGCGCCTTACAGGTGCGTGATGTGCGCCTTACAGGTGCGTGATGTGCGCCTTACAGGTGCGCCTATACGCATGTCCGTTGGGTGTATCATTTTTTAGCTAATAGTTTTGAAAGGTTGGACATTTTTGGTATTTGCATATCTAAGACTTGACACTTCGCTAGCCAAGTAGAAGCATAGATAAGTTCATTAACAAATAAATTAAATCAATGTTTTCGTTATCTATATGATCAGTATAGAAAAGATTGGGAGTAACAAAGATAACTTTGTCAAGAATTTAAAAGACAATGTGGTGTATAAGTTTGTTAATTGCAGAGATTGATAAGTTGATTAGCCAACATTGATGCCTCGAGTGGAGTATTGAGTGATGCAACGAGTGGAGTAATAAGTGATGGTGCAGGTACTACGCGTTCCTGTGCGTGTGCTGCGTGCTGCTGACCGTGCTGGCGTCGTGGGTGCTGGCCGTGCTGTACGGCTGCTGCGGCCGTCGTGCTGATGAGGCAGCATCCTGCCTCAAGCTCACCGGCGCCTCCTGGATGATCTTGTGAGTTACCCCTCCAACACTTGCATTAATGAGTGAACTTGTGAGTTACCCCTCCAACACTTGTATTAATGAGTGAACTTGTGAGTTATTGTATTAATGAGTGATCTTGTGAGTTACCCCTCCAAAAGTTGCAGTAATGAGTGATCTTGTGAGTTACCCCTCCAACACTTGTATTAATGAGTGATCTTGTGAGTTACTCCTCCAAAACTTGTATTAATGAGTGATCTTGTGAGTTACCCTTCCAAAACGCGGGCTTCTGCGTGTCCGCAGGTCTTCAGTTGTTTGCTGAAATAAAAGAGATTTGTGTTTTGCGCTTTCATGGTTGTTTGCTGAGAAAAATGAATTTTGTTGAGTTTTGCGCTTTCAAAATTATGTCAGGGCACTCACCGCCTATTAAACATTGAAATGAATATATCAGTAAGAAGATATACCCAGCGTTACGCCATCTCCCCCCAGTGGTGTGGTGATGTACAATATAAATAACACCACATTCCCCCCAGTGGTGTGGTGATGTACAATACAAATAACACCACATCTCCCCCAGTGGTGTGGTGGTGTTCTTCCTGGTTGCGTCGGTGGTGCTGGTGGTGACGGCCGCGCTGTTCCTGGTGGGGTCGCTGGCGCAGGTGTTGGTGTGCGAGCCTCTAAGTAACCCCACGCGCTCTGAGGTGTTCTCATCCCTGCACTCCCACCTCAACATACAGAGACATTACCCCCAGGGGGAGTCGCCTACACTCATGCAGATAATTGAGTGAGATCTGCTTCTTGTTCCTCTTCTTTGTAATTATTTTATATTTGATAAAATAGTGATGTTTGTGAGATAGTAACGTCTGCACTCATATCTCAGTATCATCGAGTGAGACGTGTCTATTTTTGTTCTTCTTTGTAATTAATAATATATTAGATCCAATAAATAATTTGGTGAGATAACATCTGCACTCTTATCATTACATCAAGAAACATCATCGAGTGAGAGATGTTTATATATGCTGTTATTTGTAATTATTATTCTAATTTCTAATTGACTAGATATAGTGATATTTGTGAGATATGATCTGCACTAAGATCATATTGACAGATTTAGATATTTAGCAATAATCTGTAATTAATGTTGTGCAGTCAATGTCACCGGAACGAGAGCATCTACAGCGTGCTGAAGCTGCACCTGCTCGACGACGGCCTCACCAGCCTCCTGCAGTACAGGGACAGACTCCAGCTCGATGAGAAGGCATGCTAAACAATTACCTGATTATCTTTATCATTTAAATGTATCAAATACATCATATCATATAATCAGCTGCAACTAATATATTATATAGGTATATATTTTAAAAATATTAAATATTTCATATAATCTATCAGCTGCGACTAGTATATTATATTTATCATTTAAATATATCAAATTCGTCGTTTAAATAAATTAAATGCATCATATTTTATCCATTAGCTGGGCAGCTGACCGTACCATAATTATGATTATGGTATCTTTTTTATACCATAATTAAGATTATGGTATCATTCTTGAAATGTAGTATATTGTAAAGTCGTTTAGTTCTCAGCCGGCAATTCCAATCGATAATTTTGTTCTAATCATGATCAGTTACTGGTAAATTTTATTTTTTTTTCGTTAAATGTGAGTCAAATTTTAAATTCAGCAATTCTTGTTTTAAAATTTGTCATGACATCAGTATAAACTTCAATAGTAGGTAATATAATAAATATTATTCGTATAGTAGTTGAAATGACTCTGATCAGGTGGCGCTACTGAAGCATAAGATCTCCATGTTGCCATCATGTGAATTTTAAAATCAATAATATAAGAATAAAAACTATATAATAATAAACATCATTGTGATAATTGTGATAATAAAGATGACAAATAGTATAATAATGAAGATGACTGTGATCAGACGCGTGACTGAAGCATAAGATCCTCGTCTTGTCATCAATGAATGTAAAAATCAATAAAATTACATTAATAACTATATAATAACATACGTCATTGTAATAATTGTGATAAGAAAGATCAAGAATAAGATAATAATAAAGATGAGTGTGATCAGATGGCGCAGCTGAAGCAGAAGATCAGCGTAGACACCAACGTCAAGATCTTGTCGAGGGACGCCAAGCAGCAGCTGCGCGCCCTCGCTAACTCCTCTCTTGCGCGCCGTGATGACTGGGCCAACTATGCCGAGATCCTCGAGCAGCAGGTCGTCCAGTATTGTTATTGGAATTATGATAATTAATAATTACTTAATACTAGTTAATCGTTCAGTTTAGTCTATAGTTTAGTAGCAGTTGATTAAAAGATTAAATATAGCAATATATATAAGTTAATTAGGATATTCAGGGAGTTGGACTTCTCTCGCCGCGATGACTGGGCCAATTACGCTAAGATTTTCGAGCAGCAGGTCATCTAATGCAGTAGTATTTAGGGACAAGCATCATCAATCAATAGTTAGTATTAGTTAATTGTTTGAGTTGTCGGTACGTATATCCACTATAAGATTAATCAGTGTAGTATCATCAATCAATAGTTAGTATTAGTTAATTGTTTGAGTTGTTGGTACGTATATCCACTATTGATTCACCAGTGTAGTGGATGTAGGGAATATTTTAAGAGTTTGTTCATATCCAGTTTGTATTGAACGCGTGTGTAGCAAGAATGCTGCCGCGTGGCTTTTTATGTAGACGTATCAATTATTTGAGGCAGGTTTGGCAATGATTAAATCAAAATGATTAAATCATGTGATTAAATCACTTGATTTTTTTATAAAAAAATCATGATTTTTTTGTTTTTTCGATTTATTTGATTTTTTTGATTTTTTCATATATTTAAATATATTGAGTGGCAGTCTTCAATTTATATTGAGGTATTGTTATTCATGGTTTAGTATAAATGTACTATGAATGTCAAATTGGTATATAAACTTGTTGCCTTTAGTGTGTATTAGGTTCCAATAAATGGAATGTTTTTGGTACAGAGGCATCAAGAGTGCAATACATTTTATGTAGCTAGTAGCTTAGCTAATTCTTATAAGGCTATAAGTAGTCTAACTATTTGACTATTTGTTATGTATTGATTACAATATACAATTTAAATGTGTTAGCTAGCTTATACAAGGTGGGGCAGAACTTATTGAACAGTTTTGAAGTAAAATAAAAGAGTAATGGAGGTACATTAAGAAGAAAGTTTATTTTCCTCATGATTAGCATAACATACCATTTAAAATACTTATGTTTTGAAAACAAATTAAACAATATCAGGAAGATGGGGTTTGTTAGCTGCATCACACTGTTAGAGTTGTTCTCGGAAGTTTCCTACAGCATGTTCACACATATGGCGAGGTATGGCCATAACCTCTGCTGCAATAATCCGTCCCCTTAGCTGTGATAGGGTGTGAGGGCAACTTCCGAACCCCTTTCTTTTAGATGTCCCCAAAGAAAGAAATCGCAAATGCTCAAATCAGGTGACCTCGCAGGCCACTGTAAATCACCCCTCAGAGACACTAGACCTACGGGAAACATGCGTTTCAAATCATTGAGTGACATTCGAGCTGTGTGAGCTGTAGCCCCATCCTGCTGGAACCACCTCTCTCAATGCTTCATTTTCAACAATGTTTTCCATCATGGGCTGCAAGAAATTTTGCAACATTGCAGCATAGCAATAGGAATTCACTGTCATGGTTACTCCCTCCTCTGAGAACAACTCCAACAGTGTGTTGCTGCTAATGGCCCCATCTTCCAGATATTGTTTTCGAAACATAAGTATTCTAAATGGTATGTTATGCTAACCTCTAGGAAAATAAACTTTCTTCTTTATGTACCTCCATTACTCTTTTATTTTACCTCAAAACTGCTCAATCGGTTCTGCTCCACCCTGTATATTGAGAGGTTGAGATTGTATTGACCTTTTAGGCAATTAGAAAGATTTTCCACCCTAATACGAATATTCTAATTGAAATATTTAATTTCAATCTTTAAATATGTGAATTTAAAACTAGAAACAAAACAAGTACAATTATAAGACTATATAAAATAATTAAATGCAGTAAATGGATATAAAATATTTGAATTGTGTACATGTTTATTTCAAACAGTGTTAGCTTTTCTCATAACTTAAGTCTTGTTTCAAGTCGTATGAGGTTTGTTGGGTTATCGTTCAGTTTATGTTTAGTATTGGTTTATTGGTCTGAATTAAATGGGAACAGTGCAGTCAGTCACTCTGTCACTACTAGTCGGTGTGTATAGAAGGTAGAGTCTGGTAGATTTATAGGACATAAAACTAGTAGATCTATTGATAGTGCTGTGCACTGTGCAATCAGCTACCTATCTGTTATGTGACTCTTCAATATTTAGGAGATCTGCATTCCTGAAGTGTTTTTGTATATTGAAGACAGTTAAATGGTCAATATTTAGCTCCTTACCTTGCTCCATACAAACTTTACAATGCTAATGAATAGACTTATCAATATTTGTTTACCTGAAAATCCCTAAGTGGTAAACACCACCTTGGCCTGTTGGCCATTATTGAAGGCAGTAAGTGCCCTTTATAGCCATCCATTATGATCCATATACTGTTATTGTTAGTAGGCTAATTGCAACATAAAAAATAACACCCCAAAAAAGACAAAAAAGCTGAAAAAATAAAAAAATCAAAAAAATCAAAAAAATCATGAAAAAATCAAAAAAATCATTGATTTTTGATTTTTTTTTATTTTTTTAAAAAAATCAAAAAAATCGCCAACCCTGATTTGAGGCGTATTTCAAGCCCGGATGTCGATTATTTAGAAGATGTAGATACAAGTGTGTTTACAAATAGAATTTGTATATTATTTTCCTGTTCATCATGTACCTAATGTGAAAATAATATGTTTTTGCAACCTGTCATTGTCCTCAAAAAATATTAGCATTTGATACTTCTTACACAAAAAGATTCTGATTACATTCAGAGCACGATATTTTATTTCAGTCACGCAAGATTCAGAGCACAATAAATTACCGGGCTTTGCTTGTGTTGCAGGTTCTGACCATCAACCTGCTGGAGATGGCGGCCCAGCTGAACCAGACTGCGGACCAGCTGCCTGCGGGCTACGAAGAGGTGTCCATCGGTCTCAAGAACGACGCTCTGTTTCTGGAGTCTCTGCAGCGATGGCTGACGGCCATCAGAGGACACACTAAAGTACTTAAGGAGACCACGGACAGGTTGAGTGGTTACCTGCACTACAGCAACCACACGACTCTGCGTCCTGCCATACGACGCCTCATCAACCAGGCCGAGTACGCGCAGCGATACTTGCGCACCAACGGCAGCAGTGAAGTTATTCAGGTGACAACTTCTATTTGTTTATTAATTTCCTTTGTTTGCATGAATTAAGATCGCGAATGTGCACATCTGCCTTCGGTCAGTTTATTTGATTGCATAGTTTTTTGATTTGTTTATTAACTTGCATTGTTTGCATTGAATAAGATCGAGAATGTGCACCTCAGCCTTCGGTCAGTTTATTTGATTGCATAGTTTTTTGATTTGTTTATTAACTTGCATTGTTTGCATTGAATAAGATCGAGCATGTGCACCTCTGCCATCAGTTAGTCTATTTAATTACGTAGTTTTCAGGAACTATGAAGCCATTCAGGTGTGTCGTGACGCCTTTTATGCGCGCCTGCTGGAGTTAATTCATTCATATGGATCGTATTCATCGCATTATATCGATATTATTAGCTTGTATTCAAGCAACGCATATAACTTTAAATTTGTTCATCTTGGAATAAAATCTCAAAACAAACCATAATATGTGCGAATAAAAATCATTCATCGTCAGGCATTGGCTACCGATTTACATGAGCAGCTGATGAATTGTGAATAAAATTGATTTATTTTATATCTTTTTATAATTGTGTATTATAATATAAATGACATGTGCCACGTGCAGCTGGTGGAGCGTTTCTCAGAGGACTTCCTGGCAGACGTGGACGACTACGTGGCACACGTGCAGGGCAGCGTCGAGCACAGACTGGGGCGCTGCGGCCCTCTCTCCAGCGCCTACAACGCCTCCACCGCCGCCTTCTGCAAGGACGTCCTCTACCCCTTCGTGAGTCACCGGCTTCTTAGGTCTTATGGCTTATATTTGCATATTCGGGTTTATATCAAGGCCTTCAGGGTTATATTTGGGCCATCAGGGTTATATTTAGGCCTTCAGGGTTATTTTTAGGGCTTCAGGGTTATTTTTAGGCCTTCAGGGTTATGTTTAGGCTTTCAGGGTTATGTTTGGGCCTTCAGGGTTATGTTTAGGCCTTCAGCTTTCTTTCTTTTCATTATTGGAACACGCATTTAAGAAATTAATTCTGCAGAACTGGTTCTGGGTGTTGATGATATCACGTTGTGCATATTATGTCGCCCAGGACATGATTTGTTCTGCAGTACAGGGCCCTTTGTATATATGATGGCTCGCGGCGGTTATTATTAAGTTATTCATATCATTGTTATGCTGCAGAACGGGTTCTGGGTGAGCGTGGGCTGGGTGTTCATGGTATACCTGCCGTGCGTGGTGTTCGCCCTGCACCTCACGAGCCTCTACCGCAAGACCGAGCCCTGGCCTGGGCCTCTCAACGAGTCGTGAGTACCTCGCGCCTCACGGCATCATGCTCCCTATACTGTATTTGTCTATTACTACATTATTTATATATTGAGTGATTATATAGCTGGTATGAGATGATTTATCTGTATATTCATCTATTGAGTGATCCATTAAGAGATAATTAATCTATTACTAGGTTATTTAACCGTTAGGAACATTAAAAATCCTGCAATTTGGTTTCGATAAACTTTGCAGCTGAAATTTGAATTATTTATACAGTGGTGACAAATTTTGAGTGGTGGTATATGGTGGTGGGCGAAATGTCATATTTAGGTGATTGGATTTTGTCCTTATTTACTTTGATAATGTTAGGTTATAGAATTTTTCCTTATTAAAGAACTTTTGCCGGACCGATGTTAAAATTGACTAGATACATTTTCTTAGCACGTATCATTGATGTCATCATTTTTGATACCTCTTGTTGAACCTGCATCTCGAATCAACGGATTATCGCTAAATCTCGACGATTTGTCGTCGTTACATCGAATGGCATTTCTAATTATAGGAACCATAATTTCCCCCTGAACCGAAATATTTCAAGTTGCAAGCTCCTTGTGAATCTAAGTGTTGAACAAAAAAAAAATCCAAGCTAAATCAATAACGTATCGTGTCTTCTACATAGTATATCCTAATGGTTGCCAGTGATCCGGAATGCATTCATAAAGAACGCTGTACAGTTGACCGTTCCCCGCTCTATTCTTCACCTCGAATGCCACAGATCCTTGAAATGATCAGTTGCCCCTATATACTGACCATCGTTATTGCTTCTCCCGTCCTTCAAGCCTCGATTAGTTTCTTCATTCCTCGACTACATTTCAGATCAATTAAATTGTTATGGCATTCTAATTCCTCCCTTTGTCGAGAGTGACACTTATTCCGATGATATGTGATCGTAATATTTTAGAAATTGATAAAACCTTTCAACACAGGAAATTTACATGACCAGAATTCATATCATGCAAAAGACCTTTACCATTAGACTGGCTCTCTCCAGCTTACCTATGACTTCTCATGCGGGATAACTGATGTGATTTCGATCGCTTCTTATTCGCGCTTTTTGGTCTTTTGTTTTCAATTTTTATTGTCTCAGTTTCTTTCGAATAAGTTCTCTCTTCGAACTTCTTATATTTCGTCCCTTGAAATGTGTTGAGGTTTTTGGTAATACATTTCGGCTATCCACTTCTGCTTCTCTTTCACCGTGGGTGTCGAAGTTTCCTGGGGAATTAAACGTGTTAACCTCTTGTAGTAAGTTGCTACTGATGAATCATCTTTGTTGCTCATTAATTTAAAACTATTTGGTGTCGGTCTATTTCAACTTAGATCATCGTGGTGATTAAATCAAATTTTTTTAATTATTAAGAAAAATAGTGTGCAAGACGATGGTCCAGGAACTAAAAGTTCTAAGTTAGTTGAGTTATCGATAAATATTGATCATGTTGTGTAAGGATGTGTTGAAGACAGATGTGTCAGATGTGAGTGGCATGGTATACCTGCTATACGCAGCCGTCTCAAGCGCCCTCGGGGGTTATACGAGCTTGCCTGAAGGAGGGATCGAATATTGTCATTTATGCTTTAAAAGTTCTTGTCCCCGTGCGGTAGTTCGCCTGTAATTATGCTCTGTATAATATAAATATTTTCGCGTTGATGTTGATTTGTTGTGTTGTTTGAAGTGTGAGTGACATTCATTCTCTCCCGCTGCGGCAGCGAGTGTCTCTACGATGCTTATGACGAACGCCGCCCTGAGGCTTTAGCCAAGTGAGACTTAGCGACCAATTGCTGAGTAATTATGTACGAATGCTTGTTACTCACGTCAGCTCAAATTTTCATTCAATTCTCACATATTAGAATATCACAGCTCATGTTAACACCACATCGTTTGCTGTATTAATTCAGAGCCAATGTTTTAGCACTTTAAGTGATCGTCTTGAGTACACTGACATGATCATGTATAAACATATTTGAAACCTTGTTTTTTTCTTGCTTTCTGAGGCTCTAATTCTTCAGTAAAATAAAAACGTCCGGTTTAATGTTTATGAAAACCCGCACTTTAATGGCCAACTTTGCTGCAATCAAATTCATTAATTAGCTTACGGTGCCAGATTCTCGGGGCGAAAAAACTCATAAAAACGATCTTTGAGCGACGCTGTTCGATCAGCTGTATTCGAATCGCTGTTTAATTTGGTCATTAATGTTTCATCACATTAGACTATCATCAACCTGAATCACTTACATACGCTAAAAGCATAAATTCTGAACTGGTGGCCGCCTTATATCGTTACACAGGCATTAGCTATTTGTTCTAGAACTGTTAGCAGCTCGATATTTCGTTAGATTGTGTAGTTGTCGTGCATGTATTTGTTTCGTGTGTGGCAAACCTTAATTAGGTTTCATTTAGTCTAGAGTATTTCTATGCAGTAGATTGCGTCGTTAAATGATGATCAAATGTAGACAGTGTCCATGAAGGTGTCTGCAGGTCTGCCTGCTTTTGTCAAACTGGATAGAAATAAGTGTTGTTGATCTAAACAATACTAGTTCTTTCATTCAATAATCTAACATCTGTTGTAGCGTGAACATCAGTGTTGCAGTGGTACCAACTTAATGTGTTTAATGTTGCTGAAGTTATTGATGTTTTCATCTGTCTTCTAAAGTCTGATAATTGTTGCTAGTGTTCAATGGAAACGATTGAATGTCATTATTGTGTAGCTTTGACTTATTATTGATGCTGGACTTATGTTCGTTTACAATCTCTTCAGTCTCTGAAAGTTTTGCCTTAAATTTGGCTTTGCGGAGATGGCAGCATGGCGATGTCATGGCTAGTCGTTTTATCATAGCTCGCTTAAGTAAACGTAGCGGCCGGTTTCTCGACAGTGATTGGTACATTTGGCTTGAACAGCCGTAATTGATTAGCTGCTGTAGTTAAGAACACAACTATTTACGATATGTAGTACGGCCTCTGGATGCCACCGAACAAATGGATGTTCTGGATGACATTGACCGTGGAACTGGAGTCTGCATCGGGCGTTGTTTGACTATATGTCTTGTTAGAGTGCAATAAAATCATCTCAATTTCCTTTAATAAAATTATCGTAATCTCTTTACGGTATCAACATATGTTACAGCTTCATGTTTAACATTTTTGCTCGGTGTATCCTTCACTCTTTACTCTCCTCCTGTTCTGTTCCTTACTTCATTTGCGATTTGGTTCATTAAAGAAATCGTCGTGTGCTGTCGGTGCACCGGTGCGCTTCCACGTCAATATATAAACTTAAAAATGCAATCGTTATTACTGTGCCTTCGTAGAGATCGGCTTACAGGATTTTAAATCGCTGGGCTCTGATTTTTTTAGTTTAGATTTTTTCTGAAAGAACTTCTGTGTGTGGTCTATGTTACCTCTCTAATTTGGTTTATTTGGTTTTCTACATTTTCCTTCGGCCTTGTTTTCACTCTTGTTTTCAAATGTGTTTGTGTGGTCTTTCAAAATGTGTTTTCACTCTTGCTTTCACTTATTTTTTAAGCTTCCTTAATATTTTCTCGTCTCAATCCTCGATTGCCCGTAAATTTGTCTGTCTTTTTAAATCCTTCATTTATCACATATTAACCAAGGACTCCAAACCCTATACTCTCTTATTCCAATCTTTTGCTGTTCCCAACCCTCCCGATTAAATAGTATCTCGTCTAATTATTTTATAATGCATAATATTCTTTTATTTCTTCATACCAAGATATGCCTTCTTAGAATTCATTCAAATTGTGCACGTGAAATTGTATATTCCCGTTTGATAACCCGCCGATACGATTCACCTGTCTGAAATTCTAGTTAACCTACAGTTCTACATGAAATCAACCCCACCCCTTATCGCAATTTTGAGATGCCTTTTTGGGAACATTTTTTTGTGTCATTTTTGAGATGCCTTTTTGGGAACATTTTTTGAGATAGCTAAATTTAGCCCCCGCCAGTGGCTGTAGGTGTAAGGCCCTCGACTAACAGCATGGTCCCTCTCCCTCCAGCTATGAGTCCATGTATGATGCATACGCTGAGAGGGACAATATACCGCTCACCAGGTCAGTCGGTCTGCCCTCACTTCCCTCTGTCACTGACCGTCTTTTGTATTAACACTTACTCCTGTCACTGACCGTTTCTTGTATTACCACTTACTCCTGTCACTGACCGTCTCTTGTATTACCACTTACTCCTGTCACTGACTGTTACAAATTTTGTGTTACAGCTTTCCTCCAACACTATGCATCGATACCGTCAACCCTCGGATCGCGGCGCCCGTGCTTTTTTAGAATCAGTATAAATTGTGAATTAATTATTCCCAGAAACTTCGTTAGTTGACTGGCGTTGATCATATGAAATACTGACACTTCGGACGTGTTTTTTTAATTAAAAAATTTTGATTTCTAATTTTTTAATTTTTAAATTTCTTCCAGGGACTGGTATCGATGTATAGTCTCACGGGAACTTATGTTTATTCAGTGCTCTTTTCTTACCAATTGATTATTGCTCAGCATTTCAGGCTTACTTACAACACGCTGTTATTTTCTGTTCATTATTCGCGCTTCATTTACTCCAACGCTTTGTCCAATTTCTCAATCTATGGCGTCGAAGCTAAATGTAAATACGACCGCTCTAGAGTGTTGGTGCTACCACTGCACTATTGCTCACACTGCTTACTGCTCCAGAGTGTTTGTGCTGCCACTGCACTATTGCTCACACTGCTTACTGCTCCAGAGTGTTGGTGCTGCCACTGCACTATTGCTCACACTGCTTATTGCTCCAGAGTGTTTGTGCTGCCACTGCACTATTGCTCACACTGCTTACTGCTCCAGAGTGTTTGTGCTGCCACTGCACTATTGCTCACACTGCTTACTGCTCCAGTGTTTGTGCTGCCACTGCACTATTGCTCAAAATGTTCTCACGATGTTTGTGCTGCCACATTTGCCTCTGCAGCACAGGTTGTGTTCCGCCTCACCCTGTTGTGCGACGCTCGGCTTAATATAATTAGAGATGATAATTCACTGTGCTACTGATAATTGCCTATGCTACTGATAATTGGCGTCAACACTCCTCTGTACGTCTGCAGAGCTGCATTCCTTGTGTTAATAATAAATATAATTGCATGCCGATTGCATGTTGGTGTGTGAAGTGACTCCTCGCACATCGCTCATGACAATCACGTGAATTTATTTTGATACCACAGTTTGTGTGACACCCCAAACGACACCCATTTTCACAGTGTCTTCATCTTTTAGGAATATATCGAATACTTTTGTTGTCACTCGATACTTTCAGCGATGATTAATCATCATCCCGCGATGATTTAACGTATCGAAGTATATACTCGTAAATCCCATGAATGGTCAAACGTTGCCCGTACGATGCTGCTCATTGCTTCACTGAACCGATGCTGTACTCAATAGTAAACTTGGCTCACTAAAGCTAATAAAGCCTTCAACTTGTCTTGGTAGTGGAAGTTTATAATGCGGAAAACTGAACCCATGAATTTCTAACTCAGAGGATTTGCATGCTGTTGTAACTGTGCCGTGCTCATTTTAATTCAATAATTATATGGGTAGTATTGAATCCCTCTTTGAATTATTTTCATCCCTCTTTCTTTATATCACTCCATACCTCCCACCCCTAATGAAGCTACAAGTCCATGACTCGATCGCCTCACCGTTGAACGTTTCTCCACACTGTTCATGCGACCGTAGATACCCACTAGGAAAATGACGCTGAATCTCACCATTGATTCTACTTTTAATTCAACGTTGATCCAACGTCAGATGTTGTGGGTACACACCAAGTTACTCCTCACTGCACCTATACAATAAAGTTGCACATGGTATTCCTACGAAAACCGCGGAGTAAATCGGGACTTTATCCAGTTGAGGATAATATGCCTTACCCGTAATTTTTCAACTTATACATTGAATCGTATGTATTGATGCTCCATCCATCGTAAGCATGCACAGTTTGATCGCGCTTATGAAAAATAATATTTCGTAGTCTTGACCGTCACAAAAGTTTTGTACAGAATAAACCCTCCTTCACATCTTAGTTAGTGTCGTTGCCTATTGCATGGTATCCCGCTATATTTCCACGTATTTCCACAGCAATTATACATACAAGTCTGTGAAGTAGTCAAGTCTGTGTCTATGCTAGATTGATTCCTTCATGTTCAAATTTGCTATTGTTTACTAATTCTAAATCAATGAAGAGATTTATTCTTCTGTATTAGGAATAAATGAATCGATTAACTGCGTCTTGACTTAGTCCCCTGTATAATGAATCAATAAAAATAATAATTGTACTGAATGAATAAATAATAATTATATTAATATGAACTAATTAACTGCCTCGTGCCCGCTGCAGCGCGTACGACAAGAAGCCTCAGCGGTCGCGCGAGTACGTAGAGGCGGGGGCCAGCGGGCACCCCAGCAACCACCACAACTACAGCTCCCCACAGGGCGCCCCGCCCCCTGTTGTGGGCTTCACGGGGCCTGCCGCCCCCAGACACCACGACCAGCCCCCCATTGAGTGAGTTGCACCTCAGTGTACTTTGTAGCTGCAGCTTAGCTATTGATATTTATTGGGGGTATTATTTTACAGGTTATTACTTTGTAGCTGCAGCTTAGCTATTGATATTTATTGGGGGTATTATTTTACAGGTTATCATACTTATTCGCCATTGATTACTCCTAGGCTAATTGACGCAAATGTTATTCCTTTTTCTCGTGTGAATTGCATCGACTGATTGTTAAGACTTATATTAATGTGGAACATTCTTGTGATGCAGGAGGTATATACTCAATTTATCTTAATTTACTCATGCCAACTATGAAATCATCAGATAAGCCGAGCGGGAAGACCAAAAGTAGATTAGATCATATTGAGTGTAAACGGTCACCTCAGACGATTTTTTTTTCATTTTGTGACAAAACTTACACTTTGGTCTTTGTTATTTATATCTTGAATCCATTGCAATATGAGGATGCAAAACGAATATACTTGATGTCCTTTTAACACTTGACTTGACTCATGTCTAAGGTACAGATATTCGAAGACGTTTCGGACTGACGATTGATATGACGAGAGTAGAAGGTTTTAACTTTAAAGCAAAGTGCGATGGAAGGGAATGCATGTTGCAGCTGCACTCGTACTTGTGGCTGCCGCTGTTTTATATCTCCACTTGTCATTTTGTTGAACACTGCAGGTCTGTCAGTAGGACTGCTTCGTTTTCAAATTGATTTGATTTCAAATTAAAATTGATTGGTAGATTAGTCAGTTAAAATTTCAAGAAATTTTTCGCAATTATTGATTACAAATGCACTTAAAAACGCACCGAACTTTTCTCAGCGAACTTAATGGCCTATTCTTCCTCGAACCGTAAAATCATCTAATAAAGCCTGCCTGGGATTGGCAATGTTAAACCAAATTTCAACATTGAGATGTCCAAATGATGTATTATCTCAATAAAGATACGTTAATTGACAGTAAACTAGTTATCCGTTAAAGCAGTGTACCGCCACAGACCTACAGTGCGACGCCGTGCCGTATCGCAGCTCCTCAATGCTCGTTACTGCCTGATCAATTAGTTTTGTATTTCGTATTTCTTTGACTTTTATTATTTTTCCTACCAGTTTCTGCTCCATGTCTGAATTATAAGCACTTTCTTTTGGCGATAAACGAGAATTTCTTCATTAGACTGGGATACTCGGCTATACTATAATAATCTAATGTTATTGAGACCCTGGCTCAAAATTTATTTACAGTTCGCTTTCTTTCTATTGATACTTATGATATATTTTTATTATTCTTCACCTACATGTTAAAATTAATATTTTAAATTTTAAGCTTTGGGCAAATAATTTATCTTTTCAATTCCGGTTTCTGCTGTTATCGTAGCAGTATTTTAACGAATTTAGTAGCATTTGTTCGAGACTTTATCAAACCTGCTTACTGATGATCTGTTCTCGAGTTTCTTGCTTATGTTGAACTGAACCGGTCACGTTACTGTACAAGATTCATTAATGTACAAGTGTGTACGAAATCATTCATCCATCAGTTGATTGCCGTCGTATCATAGAGGATGACATCCATAAGGGAAACGCCGAACCACAACACTTGCTTTTGAATTTTCTGCACATGCTTCAAGTTTTAACTTTTAAAGTTTGATTCTTGCTACTGTATCTCATCATTTTGCATGGGCTTTGAAAAATATTTTCAAGTTTATTCATGAAATAATTCCCGAAATGTTTGTACATTTTTTCTTGAAATCTCAACCCAAAATTTGGAAATATTACCTTTTCCATCAAGTGAATACGAGCATCTAAACAAACGGGAATTGCGCATACAATTTTTGGACTACTTAAAATTTATAACTCAAATCGAATACTTCAGCATTCATATTTTTTAGAAAGAAACCTCGAAGTTATTTAAAGATGATATTGGTGTGGATGATACGATGAGTTGCGTTGCGAGCGGCGGCGCTCCAACGTGACCTGGGACTGGTACGCCCGAAACCTACAGTATACTAAGGGTACTAAGGAGCGATACTACGGATATTAAAAAGCGATACTAAGGGTACTAAGGAGCGATACTAAGGATATTAAGGGGCGATACTAAGGATATTAAGGAGCGATACTAAGGGTACTAAGGAGCGAAACTAAGGATATTAAGGAGCGATACTAAGGGTACTAAGGAGCGATGTTTGGTGTGCAGCAGCGGACCTCCTCGCTACACCAGCCAGCCGAGCCTCTCACCGGAGTACGAGCGTCCCCCGCCATATTACTACCCTGGACCTGGGTAAGTTGTGTGCCATGCATGGAGCCTATAGCCTACCGCCGCTAAAGGTGATATTGCGTTAAAGGTGATATTGCGTTAAAGGTGATATTGCGACGATCAGCGATGATGATTTAAATTGCCAGAAGAGTAGTAATATACTGCCCTGCAAGATGCCCATTGCCGCGTCCGAGGCAATGAAGCACCGTTCGTTGCTGTCCCTGTCCTTAATTGGTGAGTCACACATGTGGATTGCACTCAGAAATGAGTGTTAGTTTGTCCAAATAACGATGCACTTTTTCACTCGCGTGGTTCGTCCTGACCAAGTTTTGTCCGGCAAAAGAGCATATCAGTTCTACGTGCTGAAAGTGGGTCACTATTTGGACAGGATGACACATTCATTTTTCTGAATGTGCGCTTAGATAGCTGCTCGACGTGGAGTGCAGTAAATCCTATACCTATTAAACCTATCAAATCCTCGGTTAATACGTAAGATGATAAAGATAAGCATCAAACTTCGTTTCAAACATGGTAAGTGAACGCACGAGTATTGCTTCTGTTGTATGTAACCAATCACCGAAGACAGATCCAGTCTTGCGTGGCCAAAACTCGACTGCAGTTATCCCCGTTATGTTGTAATTAGATTTCAAACTTTGGTATTTTGCTCGTTCTCTTGTCTGAGATTTGCTTGTTTAGTTTTCCACTTGGATATTGGCTGACACGCTTGTGCCGCTGCCGCTGATTTTGTTAAATTATGAATTAAATTAATTAAATTATTGAATTATTTTCACCAGTCAGAGCTGGAATGCGGTAACGTTCGCTGCATGTGGTACGGTTTTTTTATACGTCTGCTTGGGCTGCACATCTTATTCGGGACTCTTGAATTAGTTTCGATCTGGTGACTTCAAAATGATCGATTTATGTACCGGGCTCTTGGAGTTACTTAATTGGTTTCGTCTTGTATGTGTGACCGTTAAGATCACTTTGAACATTTCTTATTAAGAATACGCTTGACATTATTGTGTGTTTTCTGTGACTGGACAACTAATGACGTCTTATATATGACACGCTGCATATATGAATGTTTCATATATTAATTTTTTCCTCTAATATCCACTTGCGCCGTTAGCTAGCAAGATAGATTTACTTCGCTAGGTGCCCACGAGGTGACCTCAGGTCAGGAGTTCGTAGTTCAGTTGTGTGTGCGTTAGCTGGGTCGTGTTCTTCACGTGTACGTATTTCAGATATCGTCTTGCTCTGTCCGTTCACTATAATTTTTGAGGTGTCTGCATTCGGTTTGTGATGTCTGTAACTTTTAAGGGTCTTGAGGTGTTGGCAATCCCAGTTGTTTAGAAAGACGATGGTAGACTTTTGTTTCTAAATTTTGATAAAACAATTGAAACTAGTGCGATTTTCATAGAAAAATAAGATGTTTTGTGTGTCTTTTTAAATAAATTAGACGTTTTGTTTATTGAAAAAATTAGACGTTTTTTTAATTAGACGTTTTGTGATCGATTTTACAGATCTATAAAAATATGAATAATTAAAGAGAGAGCGCGCGTTATGTTTATAGATGATTTGAATTAGAGTGTGAAAAATTGTTCACAAATTGCAAATGCTTCGAATAATCTTGGGTGTGAATGATGTAGATGCTTCCCAAAAAATTTTTGAGCTTAAAATGTTTCGTGAGATTATTCTGAATTGAATCCACTATAAAAATTGACCACTTCGGTAGTTGACCAAAAGATACGATAAGCCTCGAGAATTTTTCGGAAAGACGAAGATTCCCTAGAAGTGATGAGTTGTTGAGGTGGCGGTGGTGGTGATGGTTTCCACAGCAACTGCAGCGGTGGTGGACAGTGGAGCGGCGGTGGTGGTGGTGGTGGCGGCGGTGTCCGCCACTCGTCGTCCACCACCCACGGCGGGTGGAAAATTTCCCCCGCGTACACCAGGGGGCAGTACGACGCCTGAACGCTGCTACTCTTCTACACGCGTTCTCTCTGCTGCACATTCTTATCATTATAATTTTAAACACTCAGAACTACACTTTATCAAACACTTTTTTATTATTCAGTGATTTTTTTTTTATTTTATGAGGCCACGAGCATCCTTCTTTAACTCACTCAAGTTTATTGAATTATTCACTGATGCTATGTTTTAATTTATTAGTTGGATCATGAACTTGGAATTAAAATATTTTGTTATCGTGATGGCCGATATCTTTATAACCCATCTTTGTTATTTGTATGATATTCATACTTAGAATCAAGTTTCTATCATGACCGCTTGATTGTTGAAATGACCAGATATTGATCAAATCTCTGTTCTGAATAGGCAATTATTTGATCAAAATTTAAGTTTTACTGCAGGCTCGATTTAAAGTTTATAATTTTCCTACCAAGTCGCTTTTTATCTTCCTAAACACCCTTCAACACAGCCTTAAGCCGACGTTTTCGTTTCTAAATGAGCCGAAGTACCTTGAAATAATTTTTATTTTGTTTCGACTTCAAAATTTGTCTCTAATTTTGCGGGAGTCACAGATGGGCATTTTCCTACAGCAGAGAGAACGTCAACTTCTTGGTGAACATTTGCGAGTGAGCAGCACAGTTTTTATTACATTATTGCTCGTTGTACGCAAGTACATATGCTGCATGTCTTGCTGTGTTTTCATTATTGTCTCGTCCTGCTGTTGTTCCTGCCGTCCTTCCAAAGCTTGGTTATTCTATTCCTCTGCTATATCCGTATTATTCTTTTCTTCTATCCCTATATACTCGTCCTGATCTCGCCGTAGCCATGTTTCCTCTTGTTCGTTCTTCCGTGCCACGTATTAGCTCTGGCTTTGGTTTTTCCTGCTGCTTTAATAAGAGTGAGCTAATTAGCCAGCATTCTAGTGTTTTATCGTGCATAGTGGGAATGATGTTTTACTTTCCATGTCTGGCAATCGTTGAGAATATTTTTGATGGTATTTAAATGTGAGAACCACTCGATCGCCGTCTATGTCACTGTTCATTGGCTATGGCAGCGCTCAAGTGGTGAACCGCAACAGTTTCATTCTTCGATTTCTTTGTAATGTTTTCATCCTAATGTTTTTAATTTATCAGTTTTGCATTTTGGAAAACGTTTTTGGAAGTAAACAATCTAATAATATATGTCCGCTGCTCATAAAAAATGGGACATTTAAAAAAATTTCATTGAATGAAGTCCTGAAATCATCACACCCGAGGTGAATTCAATATAAAATTGGTAAAGTGCTACTTCATAGCGTTCGCATTCGTCTCATTTCACTGAAGTCTGATTTAATTGCCAATATAAAATTGGTAAAGTGTTAGTTCATAGCGTTCGCTTTTGTCGCATTCCACCAAAGCTTGCTTCAAGCGCCACGGTCACATCAGACGTTGGATGTTGATCAAGTGATCTTACTTTACCATCCGTTCTCATTGAATAACCTGGATGGTCATCTAGTCGCGACGATGCTAGTGAAGTTTGCATTTTTGTACATACTGCGTGCATTGCACTTTAGATTTAGAATTTACTACTATATTGTGTTGTGTGGGTACGATACATTTGTTTTTTAGGGATATTATTCCATGGCACACTGTTCAATTAAATGAAAGGTGGGATCAATCACTTAATTCGTGTTTGACGAAATGATATTCATGCTAAGCAATTCACGATTGAGTATTATTTTCCAGTATATTCTCATATCTATGCCAGCCCGTGATATTTCAAAACAAATGTATAAGAAATGACATTCGTATCATTATTAAGCCTCAGTGTTCAGCCCATGTATTTTAAATTTTGTTTCAAGCTCAGGTCAATCATATTGCAGTTGCCACTATTTGTTTTTATATCAATTCTGTTTCATCCAGTTGCTAATGCAATGTTTTTTTTTTCACAGGAACGCTTAAGGACAAATAATGTGCAATATGTGGGCGGTTGCAATTATTGGGTTTGCTGTCGTGTCGGCGAGGCTGCAGCTCAGCGCCACCTGTCGAGATCCCTCAGCTTTAGATCCTCGTGACGGTCTACACAATTTTCGTCACGTCCATTTATTCTGTGTGATTAGCGTCTATTTATTTAAAGTTATTGACCTTAATGAGAAGAACTGACGACCCTTCACGTACACGACAACTATTGTCTGATTCCGCCGTCTCTGATGAAGATATCGCTTTATCATCAACGATCTTACGCTTGCCGCCGACTCTTAATGAAGTCGTCTTCCTACTCCGTTCTCTTGCTTGGTTATCGTGATAACATCGACGCTAATTTTACCTACACCAACAGGAATTGACGACCATCTTTTTGTGTGGCAACATTGTATTCTTCTGCGTAAATAAGCGTGAGGTTACACGCCTAATTCATGCAAAGAAAGTGCGATGTTGACCACCCATTCCGATGGCCATGAAGCGGTTAAGCGTGAGCACTATGAGATGTGGAGTATTTGAAATGATCATGGCCGCAAAGCAAGGTAAACTTGATACAAGTGTTGAATATAATTTATAGATTAGGTAGGACAGCCGCTACAATAAACGTAAAGTTTTTGAGAGCAATACCGCCTCGTTCGACGCTGTTTTCTGTGAAGTGTAGCTATTTGTGCAAGTCGGTGTATTCACATGAGCTCGCTGTTTACAGCTGCCGGATTTCTGTCTTTCCAAACCCTTTGCCATTTTACCCAAATTATATTTCTGATCCACGTAACATAGGTGTGCCGTTGGTGGAACATTCTGAAACTTGTCAGAGGTATTTCCCTTTTCTGTTCACTGATACGCCGGTTAGTGTGAAACAGCACGCTGTAGTCATAACGAAGTTGTGACGTTTTGCTATATATTTTGAGAGAGAGCTTCTTGTAAGCATGCGAGAAGCAGACAGAAACCTACACCAATGTGTAGGATGTTTGACAGCTGCTTGCCGCTCGTGTGGAGACGCGGCAGGGGCTTTGCTCGGTACAAAACGCACAGATGGGCTCACGATGGCTCGTGATCAGCACTTTTTCTGGAGACATTACGTGGAATTCCTTATCTTTTAAGAACCTGTGAATAATGATAGTGATGATGATATTATTATCATATAGTATTATTTATCTCCCTTTAGTAGACTGTGTAAGGAGTTTGTCCTTATTTTCTATTATTATTGCCATTGTGGTCATCATTGAACATCAGATAGACGTGCTTCTTCATTTCTGGGGTATTGTGCGTATTCTAGATGCGGCTCTTAGATTATAGCTAAATGCTGCATGTAGCTATTTTGTACCTAGAACGATGGTCTCAAACCATCAGTATAACGGTCTCCAACTATCGGTCCACGACCCACGCCCGGTCCCCGCAAGTATCACACTCTGCCCGAGTCGGTAGGTATTCAGATAAGAGAAGTCATCTGTTATTTATGTGTGCGTTTTCGTAGCATTTGAATTGCAAAGACGGCAGTGTCCAGTCTTCTCTGCATTGTTTTGACAATAAGCTCACCGTCGAGAGATGAAGAGAGGATTATATTTACTGAACTATTCACCGTCGCTGATAATGTCTATGAAGTTGACATCATTAAGTATTATGAGCTCAGCTCGTATTCGAGATACTCTCCCAAGTCATGCAACCATCCCTCAGACTTAGATTTCTTTTGAGACACCATCTACGCACTAAGTATTGGGTTACCGGCTAAATTGACTTTTTCCTTCCATTGTGGTAGTGCATCTATTTGCGATTTAGCGGACTCCCTAAGCTAAGTCAAAGCCTTGTTAATAATCACTGTTAGTATCATGTCAATGCTACTCCTAAACTCCCGACCTAATTTCCTCGTTTGCGTTTAGTTTTTTGAATCTTAATAAGTTGAGATAATGCTGACTCGTCTTTCTAGCATTTGTCACTAAAATTTAACCTTATACGCCAAGTATAAGGTTCATAAGTACGTTTTCCAAGTCTTATAATTTCGCCTATGGCCAATACGTTAGTGCATTAAAAGTCAAGCTGATCAGTCGTGCTGTGTTCACCGCTATGGTTGTACGGAATGTTTTCTGTGGCAGATTCTTAGCACAATTGAGCTTGCTAAAAATATATGTGACTTAGCTTGCGAAATTATGATTGGCCGTCTACATGCATTTCTTTTGCTATCAACATTCGCTCTTTGTTGTTAAGTTTGTTTGTCTGGTTTGCCTCTTTCTTTGCCTGCTTATGCATCCGCGTTAGCGAGCTTCTCTGAAAATGTTCGTTCATGAGTAAACAAATGGAGGCGTCTTGTTGCGCAGACGCTTCAGAAAATCTCAGAGACCCTGGATCGTTTTTACATCACCGCTGCAGCAGGAGCGTATATGTTTTAAACGAGACACAGGCAAGCCTACTATTGGCATTAACTTCCAGTTTTCGGGCCACGGAAAACCGAACAGCTCGAGTAGCCTATAAATTCCTATCAGCTGCAGAATTGTTTACTACAAGTTTATTACAAATATTTAAGGTTATTCTGGTCTTCAAGTCATGAAATTTAAATGGTAGTTGAATATCTTTGCTCTTTGTTTTCATTGTTGTGTACAATAATGTTAGATTCCGTCTTACATCTGATCCTATGTGCCGTTACTACCGCAAACAGACGCGAGCGTGATATGTTTTCAATAAAAATATACGAGTCAAATTTTCTGTCTTCTGAATATGTTCTTCGTAATGACTCGTTGATTTAATGTTTCCATTTCCTGCTCTGCATTTCTCTTCCCTAGTGACCACACAGTTGGGAACTTTGGCTTATTGTCCAAATGCATTCGAGAGTCATAGTTCGTTTGGTTGCTGGGGTTCTTACTTCTAAGTTATTTTCTCTTACTTTCTAGTCGTGATGCAGCGGAGCCATTTGTCTTGTTACCGCATCGCCGTGCTAATGCTCTTCATCCTTCGTTTAATCTCTGCTGAAAAATACTTTTACGGCGGTTAGGAATTACCTTTACAAGTGCCAATTCGGGTTAACAATTGTGCCGCAAAAATTTGTTCTCTTGCAAGTGCGTCAATTCTGTGAGGGTTATGGATTTAGAATAATTTTTTTAATCTAGCTCGGCTGTCTGGATTTTTTTTCTCTTTTGTTCTAAAAATTTTTGTGTTAATTACAACTTGATCTGTTATTCAGTATTGATTTTATATTTTCCAATGTTGTTCCTTTCTTTACAATCATTTTGATTTAAGGCATATTTATGGAATTTTTTTGTCGGTTCATCGAATTTTTGCAATTAAATACATCGCCTTGTATTATCAAGTGTAGAAATTCTTTCCCGTGTCACCAGAATGAAGTGGTCGTTGGTGATAGTGGCTCGCACGTGGTATGCGAACTCGCGTTCAATGCAGCAGCAGATAATTGTGCTCAATATTTATTTATTTTTTCTTGTACGTTCGTGCAAATGATTTGCATTAATGTTCACTCATATTCTCGCGTTCAGGATACCTTTAGTTTAAATTTTCGTTTTTATGTGTAGAGTTGCGATGTCCTTTTAGATGAGTAGAACAATCGTGTAGCGATGCATGCGATGTCGCATCGTTTTAGTTACGTTATCCAGTGGATTACTTATGGATGAGGTAACTTGAAACCTCATCACCTCTACGCTTTATTATCTGCGAGTGATCTATTGCATGTGTTCATCGGCTAATTCATCTCATTTCCTGTATTATCTTTAGGAAAGCAAGATGCTATGTACTCCCATCTCGTATCCTTATGAGACCCGCATACCGGAGCTCGCTGCACCGCTGTAGTTCGCGTGCAAAAACCTGACATTAGTCAGAGAGAGGCATTGATAGTTGTTGGCGCATTTACTCTCCACTCTTCCTATATTGTTATCATTGAAATTTGTAAATATTATCGTAGTTGTAAGAGAGTCAGCAATAAGCAAAGGGTGCATTTATTGGACAGTAAATAGAAGCTTACTACTCTTTGGAGAAGTGGTAGTATACCCGTCGTGTCATAAAAAAACTTCGTAAAAAATGTTATTTTATCTGCTAATGTTTGCTCACGGTCAACTGTAACTGCCTCGGCCTGCAGTGTTTTCGTGAGTTGACCATCCTGCATCTTAAAGGTAGTGGATCAAAGCCCTGAGTATTATTTTCATGTGGATGTTTCCTGTCATTTTGAAGGTTGCAATATAGAACCTCTCGAGTGCACTGTGGTCTCAACGAGACAATTTGTTATCAATAAAGCCCTTGTTTATTGAGTGTTTACCGCCCAATAATGTTCAATTCACTTGCGAGTTGTATTCAATGTATATAACAATTGATCCGTTGTAGCTTTGAAAGGTTACATTTTAGATAGCGAGAGGTGACTTTATTAGGGTTGCTACAACACAGAACGGATCTTAGTAACAAATTAGTGTTACTAGGCTTTCTTGTTTAGAAATGTTCAATAGACCGCGATAACTTGTTCTCCATTTTTCGACTGTGTGGCGAACAGCACCGTAAAAGAACCTCCATCTCCGTAGGTCTTTTTGTGTCATCTACTAAATATACTAATGTTTTTTAATCGTTATTTTCTTGTCATTCAGAATCTTAAGAATAAAATCAAGTTTCCTGCATGCTTATGGTGAATCAATCAGTTCAAAGGTAGTTGTGTCAATCTCAAAATTGAGTTTTGCGTGAAATTTTTGACAGGGAAATTGAAGCACCTTTAGAATTTTATATTTATTGAAATGGAAAGTGAACTCTGGATTAACAGTTCAATTTTTTATGACGGATTTAAGCTAAAATGCCCTACAACCAGCAACATATTTTAGGGAAACCTCGTAACAACTGCTATTGTTAATCTCTAGAGTTATGTAGGAAACATCGTGGAGCCCTGAATTCGCTACTAAAACTTTAAGTGAATTAGATCAGAAGCCTTGTTTGGTAGCAGGCTTGCACACCTTGTGACCCAGACATGTGTCGTAGCAGCATTTGTCCGTCGGTATCTGACACTGTGAGTCCACGAAGCAGCACACGGGGCCCAGCCCCCCGAACTTCGGACACTCGCTCCTGACGGGGGGACAGAAGGCTGGCCTGTCATCACAGCAGACGTACTTGCCGCCCCAGTACTGCTGGGGAGTCTTGCACCATTTCTCACACGTCGCGTCGATGCCAAACTGGCCTTGACTAGCGGTCGCAGCGCAGTTATACGCCAATGCGCCGTCGGTGTGCGTCGTGCCGATCAATCCACCGCCTACACCAGGGTTAACGATGCCTGGTCCAAACTGGCCTCCAACGCCGGGGCCAAATCCTTGTCCTGGAAATCCACCTTGGAGGCCAATACCCCCACCAAATCCTCCTGGGTGTCCACCAATCCCACCTCCGAATCCTTGGTTGCCAATCCCACCACCGAATCCTCCAGCGCCGCCATGAGGTAAACCGGTTTGGAATCGGTTGGGCCGCCCCCCGTACCTTGTCTGACCAGCGCCTCCAGCAGCCGGCTGGTCCTGCGCTGCAACTGCCACCAGGAGCGAGGCTAGGAAGAAGATGCTTGTGATCTGTAACAAAATTATTTTTAATCAACCCAAGCTTGAAGATTAATGGAAAAAATGGCGCTGATCAGAAGCGAGTCAGCGAAACAAGTCACACTTTCCATTTTATTCTAACTTCTCTCCGCACTTGCCTACTTTTTTATTGCAAATTTGTTATAGGTAACGGTAGAAATTCTAAGCCAGATCATTCTTAGAAAACTGAGCAATTTCTAAATAAAAAATCTTGCAGACCTTCTTTATTTCAATTCATAAGAGTAATGTATGATTCTAATTTTGCACTGGATAATTTCATACTTTTTTTATTTTTAACAGAACAATTTCAGCACAACTTTGTCACCAGGCATGATTTTTTATCATCATCACAACCCAAGCAACAAGTTCAATCTTTAAATATTCGCGGCGAGCGTCATGCGACTCCAACTTTGTTAACGACAGCGTCGCTCCCTCTTTATGCCTTACTTCACTGTTATTCTTTACTCCCAACACATTACAAAACTTATTACATCACACTTATATACATTCTTGAAGACGGAAATAATTACTCGTGTCACAGCGCACTCGACAAGTCGTCGTTGTTTATAATTAGTATATATATTTTTTATATTCTGGAATTGAGCAGCTACTCTTACCATGTTTACGTAGCCGGGACTCAAGGAACTGTAAGCCGCGCGTCCTCTAGGTCCCTCTTATAGATTTCAGTCATGACTGGAAAAAACTTGAGCGCTGCGGGCGTTCTCCAGGCTTTGTCTCAACAGCCGAACTGCTCTTTTAACCTCTGCCTTTATCGAGCGATCTCTGAGAACCACAGTGGCTTCGTGAAGACTTTTTCGGCGCTTTGAACCTGTTTTTTGCGCCACTGGAAGACGATTCCGAGAACCGTAAGAATACTTGCTATAGTTCGTGCTATCCAATACACTTAACCGTTGTTCCCATTTAAATGCTGTTTGGACCTTTTGAAGTCCGTCCACACCTAAAACTGCAGATCGTGTTTTATGTTCAACTCATATAGGGTACTATATGGTTCAGTCATTCAAGGTCCAGACTATATGTAAGTGTACGGTTGTAATATGAAGAAATCGCAACTTCTTCACTGTATTACCGAGAAACTATCGTTTCATCCCTCTGCACATCACACAGTGGGATGTATGAGCTGGAGCTGCGACCTTGTATGAGCGACGTTATTTTTTGCTGCGACGGAATATTGTGAATTCTTGTCACAGCGCAGCGAAGGGCAAAAAATTACGTGCAAAGTCTTAGTATGCATCCTCGTGTCTAGCAAGTACATGACTCAATCTTCACAAGAGATTAATTCCAATAAAACGATTGATAATAATTGTGTATCAAAGGAACTGTTCGTCATGTGATTCAGTTAAATTATTGTAACGAGCAGTTGCTGTATTTGTTTGAACATTATTATAAGTCTGTAATTAATGAAAAAACAAGAATTATTCATTGAATGATTGTTTGCGTTATCTTGCTCTCAGGCTCAGGTGATCGCACGGGAAAAATCGATTCGATGAAAATTCGATTCAATGTGCAATGCACGTTCATCTCAAGTTTGCCGAGACAGTTTGGCCAAGTGAAGCTAGTGGCTATCTTGCCATCCTGCGTTAGCAGAGAGGCAAGCTTGCTATGTCGTGCTCTCAAACTGTTGTGAAAAATTTCTTGCAAACCGATGAGATCAACCCCGCTGGAAACGAAATATATAAATTCTCGCATTTTAAAGTAATACTTCGTAAATGATCTTCTCCAACATCACGTTGTTCTTCAATCAATCGCGTTGCTTATACCAGCCTAATGCCTACACAATCATTCACCATTCTAGGCATTTGTTCGGTATGAACACGTTTTTCTCCTATGCTTGCGCATTTTCCGCTATAAAACTAACCTCTAAACAGTCACGGTTTGATATTCTTGTACGCCACAGTCAGGAAGCATTTCAGGCCTGAAGGTAACGTTTTTGCGATTTTATGGTAAAAGATATTCTCTTACCTTGTAATATTTTCTTAGATTAAAAAATTATAATTTGTACTCAGGCATAACATTTCAGTGCAAGAATTATAATTCAGGTGCAATAATCGTGACAATTTAATGGTTTCATTGTTTCGTAGTTTCCGTTTTTTGGCAATTGAGCCGACAATCTGAATACGGTTTTATTGCTCTCGTACACACGCTTACGTCAACTTGCATTTAAAGAAAAGCAAACAGCCAACCAGCTGTTGCTAGAGCTAATTAGGAACCTATCCCCCAACTCGCGAGAGCATAATTATATCTCTGTCCTTGCTTGATAAGAACTGATAGCACACTCAGTAAGTGTTCTACCACTTCTTACCAAGATTGTTGAGATATAACTGCAATTAAGAATGGGCGAATTCATCTAGCCAAAGCAATAATGAATGAAATAGGTTAACCATGATTAAACCAAAATACTTTTCACTCATAGAGGGTAAATGTACTGAATTTTGTATAAGTGTTGAATGAAATTTTTAGATGAAATGGAGTTACAGCTAACAAATTTCTTATTTAAACCTTATAACGGTATTCAATGCGAAACTACCTTGCACGTACCGGCAATCGCTTGCTCGAGCGTTACTTCGATGTATATCTAATGAAAATCGATTTATTGTATTACATGACATCAACTTTTAAAAATCTAATTGATTTGTGAAGTACATAATCGACCATGAACGACCAAAAAATAGAGTGTAACAAATTTAATTATTATTAGTGCATTCATCAATTGGCAGGTCATGCATACTGTCACGCTGATGGCTGATTAGCAACCGTTAATTGAGATGGTAATTATACGTGCTAAAAAATGCAGCATACTTCCATTTATCATTCCGATCTGTGCCAGTGACGAACAAGAGCTTGCGAAGCGAGTACCTGTTATGTAGCTTAGTGATCTACGTTAGTAAGAAACCGTACAACTCAGTGACGCGTTAAACTTTTTCCTGGTGAAACTAAAATCTTTGTGTATTCCCAAAATATTCATATATCTTCAGTTGAGATTTAGATAGAACTTCTGAAAGTGTAGTGAAATATTCACGTTGAGCTGCAGATGTTATCTCCTGGCAAGATGTTTATCGTTAATTTTTTGAGAATTTTGGAGAAATTTAATGAATTTTTCAGTAACGCATCATGTAAAATGCTAACAACCAGAAACTAATCATATTATTTCTCCTTACCCTATTTAAAAACGGATAGCACTATCCCGAGAAGTCATTTATCAATGAGCAGCATGGGAGATTTTAAAAATTTGGAAGAAACTTCTTCCTCGAGTGGACAACTGACGCGGCCGATGTTGATATTGACGCTCTTCAGCGCCATTGGAGGTTTCCTCTTCGGTTACGACACTGGTGTTGTGTCGGGAGCCATGCTGCTTGTCAGGTGAACGCAACAAAATTATTTTATCATTAGCTGATCTCACCACGTTCAGCTCTTATTGCAAATGCGAACACGTCCCGACTCTTACTTTCCTTAGTATGTGTTTTTGACGTAGCAGCCCAAGGCCACGCAGGAACGCCGCCTCAAATTTCCGCGCCTATGAAACAGTTAACTCGTATCAACGTAGGAATGTGCAGTGTTATCCGTATAATTTTTTGCTGGCATGATTTTATCTGAAGGATCTTTTCAGTTGACATAATTTAAAACGTAGCTACGGTGTTTGTAAGAATCATCTTAAACTAAATACCAGGTACTTGCAGACACGATTTCAACCTCAGCACCGCGTGGCATGAAATCATCGTGTCAGGCACCATAGCCGCGGCGTGGGTGGCTGCTCTGGCGGCGGGCCCAGCTACAGGTGAACATTTAATTCTTGATAATACAGGGTTCCATTCTCCAATGAATTAATAAATTGGTACGTTAGAAGGCTATGCTAATCATTTCCAGTAAGGGTTGGCCTCTAAAACGGTGGACTTCCGAATTCAATTGCTTTAAAACGCATTAAAATTTCTTAAGATAAAATAAAAACAGCGGAGCCTGTAAACTTTCTTACACCTCACCTACGGAATAACATCAGCGTATATACTGTATGTCGCAACTGATAAGCGGAACAGTGCGTTTCGCTCTTCATGCTACGAAAGTAGCTCGCCGTCGGCTGTCGTCGACAGCCGAAATTTTGTTTCGTGAATGGTTAATTTTGCATTGATTTCCGAATATGTCGTCTCCCGAAACGGTCGAGTTCCGCTGTACATATTTCTATGGAGAAAGTAATTACTCTCGTACATCAACTTACTTAGAGCAGAATTCTCCTGCGTACTAATTATTTAATCAATACAGAGAATAACAGGGTAAAGCATTCTTGATAGGGATATTGATTTTTAGAACTTTATAATAAATAATGATAGTATATAGTGTTGTCGGCGTTGAAGATTAACCCATGTTGCCTCGATATTTAACGTTACAAATTTTTCACAGCTAGCTGCGGGATGCCAGCCGTGGTCAACATAACTTAATAAATCAGCTAATAATTGACCGAAACTTTGCATCCCTGCAATGTATATATAAAGAGTTCTGCTTTAGATCGTTTCGGCAGAAGGCGTATGATCGTGTTGGCCAGCGTGCTGTTTGTCACCGCAGCGGTTGTTATGGGCGCTGCACCTGAGAAAATAACGCTTCTCTGTGGCAGAATTATAGCCGGTCTAGCTATTGGTAAGCCTTGACTCCCTGCGTTAGTATAGAGTTTTATAGGGGCTCTGAATTAAATGTATGGGTTTTGTGTTTTATTTTGTGCCTAAAAAAATTACATTTCTACGAGGATGCTTCAAAAAGTTCGTGGAAAATGACATAACTGAAAGTTATATGAAAAGAATATGATGTCAATGCATCAGAACAATCGTGTAACAAGATTTTATATACTGTGTTCTCACATGAACCCTTGAATTAATGTTGCAAACGCGGGCGCTGTTTATTTAACAACAACAGCCGTTCATGCAACATGGCATCTGTTGAAATCGAGGCTATCCCAAACATCAAATTCATGGTAAAGCATGGTTGTGAGAACAGTTAAATCATTGTTTCTCTGGAATAACTTTATGTAGTTTAATCATTTGACATCCACAAAGAAGGCCCCATTCGACTTATTTCTATTTCCAAATCTGAATAAGTTGTTGAAAGTAACCAGTTTCATAAATTGAAGTAGTAAAAACAGCTGCTATGACATGGTTCAAATCGCATGACTCATTTTTACAGAGATTTACAGGCTCGTATCAACGTTTGCAGAAATGTTTAGATCAGGGTAGAGTATATCTTGAAAAATAAACCTTATGATTTCGATCACTTTTTTCAAACTGTCGTTTTTTCATGAACTTTTTGAAGCCCTACCTTATATTAATCGATGAATTGTATATTGTTTTGTCGAGCAATAACAGGATTCTCAAAATTTCTGAAATTGATTCCATCTTTTACGTTGGCCGTGTCAATTGGCCATTAATTATAGGTACCATATTGCAACACCTGGTATGCTCAAGCTTAGTTAAAATTATAATAGAATTAAAAAAAGGAATCCGTCAATTAACCTTGCTACTAAAATTCAGGATTCGCTTCGATGTGCGTCCCGTTGTACCTGAGCGAAATGGCCGAGACGACGTTGAGAGGCCGCTTAACTGTCACCAACATCATTTTCGTGACGGGAGGACAGTTTGCCGCCAGTCTCGTCTGCGGGGCGTTCTCAAACGTGCCTCATGGATGGAGGTGCGTGCGTTATATGTATGTCCTTCATAACATTTTAGCGAGTAACAGGTAAAATTATAATGTAATGTCATTCCTTGTAGATAAAGCCGTAGTAGGAAGTGTCCGCACCTGCAGCATAGTTTCGCAGTTCGAATTTTCCATTTTGCAGGTGGAAGTTTGGATTGTGGGTGGTGCTCGCTACCTGCATTCAAGTTTTGCATATTTAGTGTCCATATTGTCAGGGTGACCCAGTGGTTACTGTTCAGGTATCAGGTTGGAGCAGTGAGTTGTGGGTTAGATCCCACCTACCTGCAAAAATTCCGATCAGAATCGGCTAGGCGGCCGTGCCGTTAAGCATAGCAAAATTGGAGAAGTGAGTTGCATATTCCAGACCGCAACAAGCGTGAAAATTTTGCGACAATTTTCGGAATTGGCGACAGGTCTAACAACCTAATTAACATTGACACCGCTATTATTATTATGTTGCAGATGGATGTTTGGATTGGGTGCCCGCCGCAGTGCAGTTTGTGGGGTTCTTCTTTATGCCGGAGTCTCCTCGATGGCTGGTGGCTCAGAAAAGGTGTGACCTTTCATGCAGGATACAAAAGCACAAGAACCAAAATGACGAGACAACGTAATTAGGTGCAAGTAGTTTATCTTTCTGGATTGACAACATTAAAAATTTATTTAATCGTATTTGACATTCAAATCCTCATCAATAATCATTCGTTTATAGTTATCAAGAATGACTTAATTTTTTTTTATTTCTGGTAAATTTTTTAGTTCAGATTGAACTTCAAATTTTCAAAATATTCGCAGCTTCGTGTTTATAGGACTATTGTTTGTGAAGTATAGCTCACTCTGTCACTCTGTTTATAACTTAATGAATATCAGCCAGATTGTATTTTCATTTACTTTGCATTTCACATTTCTGACCATCGTTCGCTTCTGCCACAGAAACGAAGAAGCAAAAGACGTGCTGCTGCGCTTCAGGCCTCCAGCTACTGACATCAGTGCGGAGCTGCGCGATATCGTACACACCATCAGCAAGGAGATGGTGAACAATTATTCTGCTCAGTTGGTAAAAATAAGGAACTGGAATATTTGATGAAATTTACGCTGAATTATATATAACATCGCATAACGAAATTCATGGTTATGCAGTTTTTAGTAGTTCCCAACATGTTTGAAAACGAATGAAGATGAATTAAATTTCTTTTTTTTCAAAACGGTTGAGGAGCACGGTTCAAAGCACCGTGCTCCTCAAAAAAAAAAAAAAAACTCTTCCGATTTTGCGAAATATTTATTTATTTCATCAAGAACTACCGTTTTTTTAATACGAAGTTCCATTCGGCCACATCAAGTCTCACAATTGCTTGCTTTACTGATGCTCTATTTAATTTAGGGTGGCCCATTGATTAAAGTTCAGAGTACCAAGATTGGCGCAGAGAGGCGCGGGTTCGATCCCTGCTCTGCGCGACAGTTTCTGGTCAGAATCGGCAAGGAGGCCAGGCGGTTAAGCACAGCAGAATTGTAGCAGTGAGTTGCGAGTTCGAGACCTCAAAATGCTGTGAATAATCTGCGATGTTAAGAATCGGCAACAGGCCTACGGCCTAATAAACGCCGAAACCGCTATAAATTTAGAATCTCTCAACTATTAGCGTATTAGCGTATTCTTTATTTAATATAGATCCTCCATGTACTTTAATGCAAAGCTCAATCCGAGTTATTATTGGCACCCCAGGTCTCGCTACTGCTTGCGTTGCTGCTTCTTTATTTGATTTAAAACTTTGATCAATGTCTTTTCTATGCGAAGTTTCCTTCGAGTGAGCCTCTGTGTCTCCCACATGACCTGGGCTCCAGGATGAAGAGGAGGGTGTCTCTCTAGGTCGTATCCTAGCTACCAGTGCCGTACGGCGCGCCCTGACTCTGGGCTGTCTGCTGCAGATGTTCCAGCAGCTCGCTGGCATCAACACGGTCATGTCAGTGTAGACCTTATTGAGATTTTATGGAATTTGATTCAGTAGGATTATTAAAACTTTCAATAGAGTCTTCAAATATGCAGAATTAAATATGAACGGTTGAAAATTTAATTTTGCTTACTACTCCGATAGAAGCTTGTGATTTGTTATAGTGTGGAAATAATTTAAAAGTTTTCATAACATATATAGTGATGTCGGCGCCGATGGATAGGTCTGCTGTTGCTTGTCGCCGATACTTGTACTTTTCGCGACTTGTTCACAGGAGATCTAAAAACAGGTCCTTCGACCGGATCCTGTCAAAACTGACGATAGTTTAAAATAACTACTAGACTTACACCAGGTTCGATATGGTGCAAAGCCTTTCAAGTCTGAACATATATTTCTCCATAGCTTTATCTAGCCTGTTCTTGAACGCGTTCATACCCGGAGCGCAAACAAAGTAATCAGGGAGGCTGTTCCTCATGTCGGTGATTCGAAGCGAGAAGAAATGTTGTCGCGTGGATATGTTGCAGCGCAGTTTTTTAGTTCATAGCCGTGGCCCCTGTTTTTGGTTATACACTTATCTCAAATACTTGCATAGTTAATAATAAATACACTGAATTCGTTAATCATCGAGGACATCTTTTTATCAAATACAGCACAACTGTTGTCTTGTATTCAGTTTTTGTGTAATGTTAAATCAATGCTTAAAGTATATGCACTCCTGGCAGGTACTACAGCGCCAGCATCATCACCATGGCCGGCATCGGTGACCCAACAACGGCCATTTGGATCTCAGCGGGCGTGGCCTCCTGCAATTTTGTATTCACGTTTGTAGGTCTGGCGCTCGTTGAGCGCATCGGCCGACGGCCGCTGCTGCTGTGGTCGCTGGCAGGGATGGTGCTGTGCCTGCTGGAGCTCGGCGTCAGCTTCAACTTGGCTTACGTCAACAGTCCCACCATAGACGCTACTGGCAACTCTACGGACGCTTGCACGCAATACACGTCAGGAGAAAATGTTTACTAGTTAGTGGTCGAGGAGAATAGGGATGCTCAGGATAATAAAAGCAGAAAAACTTATGTCATTTATGAAAATGTCAATTATTTTTTATGCATATAGGTATGTGAATCTATTAGGAAATATATTTAATTAGAAAAACTATTACAATGTTTATTGACCATTGGTTCTTCATTTATTTGGAATCCCTGTTGATGAATTTGTGATACCTTTTGAGGACATTCAATGTTATTCTTGGTAATATTCACTTTATAGAATATGAAAATTTATGTCAACAACATTGCACATAATTCAAACTTAATGCAGAGAAATCTACTTGACAGTCACAATCGATGGTAAAGGTGACCGACAATCTCGACGCTTTATTATTTTTGTGAACTAGAACTCGAATAAACGAACGTCAATTTTGTTATTATATGCTGCAATATTTTTGAAACGTGCAGGTCTTGCTCTACGTGCACTACATCATCTGACTGCGGGTTCTGCTTCTCTGCCTTGGACCCATCATACCTGAACGCATCCTGCCTTGCTGCTGATCACGACCAGTTCAACGAGGTAGAGGAGCTCGCTCCTCCGCTGAATTTTGCAAATAATTTAGCCCGCGAACCTCGGAATTTTAATTTACAGATTCGTGTTTTTCTTTTCATAATACTACGATAGCTTTCTTTAAATGACGTATTAAGTCGACAGTACAGACCGGCATAATCTCCTACGCCAACGCTACTATGTAGTTAAATCTCTCAAAACTCTAGATCACATGAACAAAAGTATATACCGTGGTTAATCAATAAATATATTGTTTGATGCAACCTTCAAAAATTTATGTTTGATATTTAAAAACATTGATGAGCCGCCTTCATTACCTGATATCTCCCTGTAGGTAAGTATAAGTGAAGCCTGCAGCAACACAAACCTACCCGAGGACGTGACTTTTGCCTACGATTGGTGCCCGTACGAGTACGGCTGGCTCTCAATACTGGGACTTGCCTGCTACCTCCTCTGCTTTGCTCCTGGTAAGCACAGGCATTTTAAATGTCAATTATTCATCTCTTCAATCTTTATGTAGCTCATATTGGTAGCTCAGATAACAGTTGTGTTCAGCGTGAATTGCATACATTTTTATTCATATGGCTTGAAAAATGTGACATTACTATGCTCTTTTCAAGGCATGGGCCCCATGCCATGGACAATAAACAGTGAGCTGTACCCAGGCTGGGCTCGTGCTCGATGTGTGGGCATCACCTCGTCCGTTAACTGGGCATTCAACTTGCTAGTCTCGCTCACTTTTCTCACGCTCACTGAAGCTATTACTAAACACGGTAGGTTGACTCAAATTATCATGTAAATTAAAACACACGACCATCTTTTAATTACGCTTACCTACTTATCCCGATAATAATACAACTAATATTAGAATGCTAACGAAGAATTTAGCAGTTAAGTCTACATATTGAAATGCTCACATTTGAGCCGAATTAATGCGCGGGCTAATTTTTTCAGGTACGTTCTACTTGTACGCTTGTGTCGCAGCTGTGGGTTTACTAGTATTCTACTGGAGTCTGCCTGAAACAAGAGGGATGACTCTAGAGAACATTCACGTTTTGTTCAATAGACCGCTTTTCAGCTCCCAGCCATACAGGACAAATAGAGATTCAGAATCTTGACCTCCAAACACAATAACATTTTACGTGTGGTCGAAAGTAAAAATTGGCTTGACAACGAATGTTTTCACATCCTATTACTGAAATTGCTCACAAAATCCGTCTAAGTGACATTTACGTCGATTTCTGGTGCAGATCGGAGCTATAAATTATGTCAGCTGCTGAACAATTTACACAGCATATTTTGACGAACAATAAGATATTATTAAGCCATTGGCTGGCTTTTGCAAAGCTTAATCGCTCACTGGTACCAATTTCCCGTCGGACATTTCCCGTCCACGGCCGGTTTTATGGTTCTCAGTTACCATGAAATATCTCTTAAACTTCCCAACAGATTTTCCCTTAACTCAGCTCATAACATTTTTGATGCCCTCGGCACGTGGTTAAGTCGACCATTTTTTTCAATTCATACTTCATTGACAATTTTTTAAATTATCATGACAGTGCAATTACGGCTGTTATATATATTTATTTTCAAATGTATCCTAGTGGCCTCTAACTTGCACCAGATTAAAGTATCGTTAGCGATAGAGTAGGTTTCAGTTACTATGTAATTTTTTATTTTTAACATTATTCTACAGGCCCATACAGCCTTAAAACGTGCAAAAATTCAAATCTAGTCAAATAGCACAAAGATATCCGGCCGGTTGACTGGCAGCTGTAATGTACGATGGGGGTCGTACGTATTACCATAAAACTTGCGCACGAGGCTGAAATGGAGAATTTCAAACGACCTACATCACAACGCTTTTAGAGCTGGATTAATTTATTGAAAAGTGATTAGTAGGTGAAAAAGACTGCGAATACAAGCTTTTATAGCTCAGTATAGTGTTGTCGGCGCTGAAGAATAGGCCTGATATGGCCTGATGATTTTTCAAAGAAGACGAAATATCAAAATTGTTGTCCGTAATACAATTGGATTATTATCATCAGTTCATATACAAAGTGTTATTTAAATTTCAGAGAATTTGTTCGTTTATTCCTAGCTCGTGTAACGATATAATATATGAATGAAATCGAAGTGAAAACCTCAGGAAAATACGGGCAATTTTGGGATACGCTCTCGTTCAATGTCCAATTAAATTGTGATCAGTAGTTTGTGAGATATTTATTAGTAACTGAAACCGGCCGTGAAGATGGCATCTAAATCTGCTACAGAAATGTCTGTGTATGCACCGAATCAATTTATTAATTTTAATTAATTATATTATATTAATCAATTAATTAGGGCAGGGTGGCCCAGTGGTTAAAGTTCAGAGTACTAGAATTGGCGCAGAGAGGTGCGGGTTCGATCCCTGCTCTGTGCGCAAGTTTCTGGTCAGAATCGGCAAGGAGGCCGGGCGGTTAAGCACAGCAGAATTGTACGTAGCAGTGAGTTGCGAGTTCGAGACCGCAAAATGCTGTAAGTGTTCTGCAATGTTAAGAATCGGCGACAGGCCTACGGCCTAATAAACGCTGAAACCGCAATTATTATGATTATTCAGTTTATATAAGTTGACAGAAAGTAACAAGTTTTATTGCGAGCAACCTGAAAAAATTACAAAATTGGTTCAAGTTTGAAAAAGATATTTGCTTGCGTATATTGATAAATAAGTAAAAAGAGGTTAGTTTCAAATTCTAATTTAGATAATTTTTTAGCCATTCAGTGCCACGAAAGTTTTCCAAAGTACTGGCATGCGTCATGCGACACTGAGAATCTGGCTCACATCAGTTAAAGGTCGAGCCTGTTCTCGCCGGTCAACAACATACCTATACCTATGGCGAGCAAGGTGTTTCAATCGATGGTGAGCATATTTCAAAATCTTGATTACTTGTCTTGTTTTATATTATAGTTATTTGTTATAGAAAGCATGAAATCGACAGAACGAAAAGGATGATAGTGTACCTACTGTAAGTCTGTAACTACTGTTGTTGTGACATGTGACTGACAGTCTGACACTGACCTCTGGGTCAGTTTTGTCCTCGTACAGTCGTACTGAATTATTAGTGAATACTATATTAATATTGTAAATAATTGAAGCCTGAAGGTATTCCACAACCCATGGTCAGGAAGATGTGCCAGGTGCACGGGAATTTATTTTGTCATTTTAACGACCTGCGCGGTGCTCTCGCTGCTCCGTACTATGCTGGTAAAAAAATGCGCCATGCGCCGTACCATAGTGGCAAACCGGACTTTTTTGGAATCAGTTCATTTTTAATTTCCTCAATAACTCAAGATTTAAACCAATTTATTAAGTATGATAATGCTGGTATCCATGATACTTTACTGGTCTACTTATAGGACTCAAAAATGAACTTGAGGGAGAGTCTAAAAAAACTCTCTGCTTTGTCACTATGCGCCGTACTTTAGAAAGCTAAAATAGTTCTACTATTTTAGTCGACAATATACGCGAGTATATTGACTACGCGAGTCGAACTGACAATAATAAAATGTAAGACATGTCCGGGTTACTTCTGACTCTTCCGCTTGTCCGCCTTGTCGGATACGGAACGTACGGTAATCGTAAACTGCGGCTATTATACATACGAAATGTAAACAGATGGTATTCAGTGTTACAATATGACTTTGGAGAAAATTTCTTCTAAAATAAAGTTCTAGATTTCTCATTCACCAAATTTCCGTATCAAGAAAAATCATATATTATTGAAAGATAATTAAAGGCATACTGTACTGAGTAATATGAGTATTATGTCTGTTCCTCCACAAACTGCTCGTGCGCAGGAGCGCGACGTAGAATTGATGGCCGGGATTGCGCCAACACGTGCGCAAAGAGAATCAATTTTCATTACCTTGCGCCAACTGTGCACAGCAATAGCTTAAAAAAAGTGAAAATGCGCGGGAAAATTCACCGAAAACATACATCATCCTGAGTGTGGTCCACAACATAGCTGTGCTAACTGCTAAGTGATACATTGTATGGGCTTGATACAAAAGGCTACAGCCTACATTGCATTGCGGATCAAATTCATGAGCCAAACCTCAATAATATTGACTTTTCTGGGTTTAAACACATTAGTGTTTAACACAAATGATATCTTTCACCATAATAAAAAGACCATATCAAACCTTGTTCCTGTTGGAAATCTAGTACCTATTACTATTGCAGTGAGTGACAGAGAGCTCAGTTTCTTGTCTGTCCGTAACGTGAAGCCACAGAGGCACAGACGGACTTCACGGACAGAAATAACTAGCACAATAGAATAGGGTAAACACGGTATATTCCGTCACATTAAGGACACATCGAGAAATGAAAAACTATAAAAAAATAACCGTATGCATTACTCAAGCTCTGTTTGCTATAGTTTAGGTGACTTTCAAAACACCGTACTATGCGTCGGCAATGATGAAATGTCACAAAATGTTGCCATATTTATGTAAAAGCCTTTAGAATGATAACCTACCAAATCCCTATTCCGTCACTGTGTGTGGCAATATTTGGCACGTGGTGAGGCGTATTCCGTCCGCGCTTCAAATTCTACTGATACGTAATGCCGTCATCCACGTGTTCAAATTATGTTTGCTGTGTGAGCTGTATTGGAATACAACATGGCTTTGAATTAGAAGTGTAGAACACTACTTAATTATGCTTTTAATTAACAACTATTAAGCTTTTAATTTAGCAAATTTTAATTTTTGTACAAAGCTTGGAACATAGTGGCAAAGCAGAGAGTTTTTTAAACTCTCCCTCAAGTTCATTTTTGAGTCCCATAAGTAGACCAGTAAAGTATCATGGATACCAGCCTTATCATACATAAGAAATTGGTTTAAACCTTAGGTAAATGAGGAAGTTAAAAATGAACTAATTCCAAAAAATCTCTGGTTTGTCACTATGGCTTGGAACGATCTGTGTGTGTCCAATTCAAGTTGTGACAGAATTAGTTTTCATGTGTGATGTGTCTAAATCCATTTCTCAACTTAATCATCTATTAATTTATTTACCACTTGAAATCAGCAAATACAAGTATACTTAAAGGATTCCTAATATATTCACAGATGTATTTAAAAGTCTCAAACCATAATATTCTTCCTATACAAACAGTTATTTACTATTTGGTACAGCAAGGTCAACTGTCAAATTTGACACGTTTTTTGATGATGTCACTGGGTAGCGTGCATTGTCTCTCTTTGGATCTCAATATTTTCCCACTAGATGGCCAAGACCTAGTGTTTTGGCAGTAGTTTGACGCACAAATGTATGACGTCATCATTTCAACCATCAACAAACGCATGGAACTAAAACAAAGCTTAATATAAAGGAAAAGCTAGAGAGGTGACGGAATTACCCACGATGACGGAATATACCGCGTTTACCCTATATACCTTAAAATGGGGTAACTTTGACCACTTTTTTCAAAATGATGGCATTTTTTTACTAGATAAGTTAAACTTAAATTGAAAAATGCAAAATACATGTCTATACTCTAGCTTTACTCACCATAAATTGCTGGCTCCTGCCTCTCATAGTTTTGATGTAACTTTAAAAAAAGTTATGGTCTTTGTTACCCCAGCTCTTGGGGTTTCTTTGACCAGGTGGGAAAATCAATTTAATTTTTGGTAAATACACTCCAAATAACTCCAGGTTGTGGTGCATTGTAGTAGAACTCTTCTAGTTACATATGCAAAAGACAAATTTTAGGAAAGTGACATAGTTTGCAAATGGGAGGCGCCACCCCCCAATGGGCAAAATGTGACCACCTAATGGCAGCCGTGACGGGGTAACATTGACTGGTTTGGAAAATGGAAATTAAGTTAAAATTACCATATATAAGACTCTGTGGAGTCTGAAACATAAAGAAAAAACATTAATAGGTGTATCAAATCTAAAATATGTTATATAGGTACCTATGGTAATTTTAACTTAATTTCCAAGCCGGTCAATGTTACCCCGTCACGGCTGCCATTAGGTGGTCAAAGTTCCCCCATTATGGGGTGGTGCCCCCCATTTGCAAACTATGACACTTTTTTTAAAATTTGTCTTTTGCATATGTAACTAGAAGAGTTCTACTACAATGCATCAAAACCTGGAGTTATTTTACCAAAAAAACAAAAAAATTGGAGGGGGTACTCCAACAGGTTTTTTTGAGTTTTGGCTGTTTTTGTTAAAAAAACAAAGTGGTCAAAGTAACCCCATTTTATGGTAGTGTTTTTTTTCCATAAATGAGAAAATGTGCTAAAAACTAGATTGCAGTTTCTAAACCTCTCAAGTCCAGTGAGGAATTCCAGAGGGGTAATATATCAACTGGTAAAGATAGCAAATTAGAAAGCATGACCTAAAAATCTGGAAAGGCCAGCATACCTCCACTTTTAGCCCATCATCACTGACAAGTCTCTGCAAGCTGCCACAGCTGTTTCATTGGAAAAAACAGAGCTTATGTCATCACAGTAACAAGGATCCAATCAACGCTTGAACACATCCAATGTCACAGTCACATGAATCCTATCATTGCTAGAATGTGTGCAACGTCACAGTCAAAAGAATCCAATTAGCATCAAAACGTGTGCAACATCACAGCCATTGGTATCCAATCAGCATTAGAAAGCTTGCATGGAGTGCCCCTAATGCTGCAGTGCACTCAATGTTGATGCACATATGCTAATTAATGCGTAATGCTACACTTCTTATTTCAAGTGCGTAATACAATAATGTAGTTAATGTCACTATTGATGGAAATTGCAAAGAATGATATCTTCACTATGTACATTCACTCACAAATACATAAAAAACTGCCTATGATTCAATCCACAAATAAAAAAACTGATCACTGATGCAATAAGCTGAGACAGAAAGTAGCAGGGATACCAACCATCAATATACTTGTGTGAAAAATGATTTAATTTGAAACCATTGTGTTAGGAGTAAATAGTATTTCCTTCTGTAGATCCCTCTTGCGCATCTGTGATTGATGTGCGCAATTAACAATGTTGGCAGTGGGACATTCTCTGTGTTGCCTGGCATTTTATTCATGCCAATGCCAATTTCTGATGGCCTGCAAACCTGTTTCTAGTTGCCTGGAACATTTTTTTGAAGGCAGAATGCTTTTTTTAAGTGAGCCACTAATCTTAGAATTCCATCCTGCTCTCAACATTAATGTTAACCCAATAAACCTGCACTGAAATAGATGAAGATTTACATTTCTGACTGAGGATCAATTAGAATTACTTTTTAGATAGATATTAGATACGAGGCTTTTGTACAAGGTACATATTGATCTAAAGTTGCAAATGGCCAAGATGGCTGAATTTCTATTCTTCAATGGCCATTCTGATCAAAGTATTTATCATCTTGTGTATTAACCCTTTAGCGGGCAAGCATTGATATATTCAGAAATTAAAATTTCAGAAACCATTTCAAGAAAGTAAGAAGTATGATACAAAATATTTATTCTTATATATTTATATAAATTTTGAGTACTGAAGGTTTAAGTTGCACTTGAAGAATTCATTAAATGCGGTCAGTACACAAAATCTTTCTTAATAATTAAAATATAGTTTACGTAAATGAAAAATTTGTTACATACGCTTTAATTAAATTTGATTCAATCAAGTTACCGGAAATAATAAAATGTATATTAATACTTCCACCATATGAAAAAATGCGGAAAGAGGGTCAATTACATCGTCCAAGTCAAAACTTTCATTAAAATGCTCATATTTTAATTTGCTATGGACGGAATAATAGTCAGATAATTAGTAATTAACTGAGGTATTATGAGGACGCCTCAAAAACAAACAGGAAGCCGTGGTGGGGCTTTTTGTCAGGTGATTTCAAGTGATCATATATGGTAACTTGCCCATTAAAGGGTTAACTAATGTCCATTACATAGAGCAAGCTCTACCTTTGATAAAATGAATGAAATCTATGTATGCATTGGAATTTTCCTCCATATGAATGAAGTCTCACAGCTTCAATGTGAGTTACATAACAAGTTTTAAGTACATTTTTCAATCTTGCCGCCTGATCACGCTGATTCATACACTTTCTTTACAATTATCTAGGAAGTAATTCATTTAGTGGGAATCTAGCAGCTCCAAAAAGGGCAGTAAAGCACTGGTCAAGGCTTGAAAGGTGAATTACATAACATGAACAGTGGACTATAAAGTTAATCTGTTGGGTTGGCCATTTTTTTCAAGCTTTTATCAACCAAGATATTGGCCAGTTTTTTCAAGCTTTTATCAACCAAGATTGGCCATGAATTTGTGTTTGATTAGTATAAAAAGATTGATTGGTCAATTGATACTGCATGTTGCATGATGTATATGGTATATTTGTATTTGCCACCCATTTCCATTGCTGTCTATCACCAGTATCAGTGGTAATGCAATGCAGCTAATTCCCTATCAATCAACCCGATTGCCATATTAATTACAAATTCTGATCTATAGAGAAGCCTAATGGCAACTGCCATCTTGCCATATTAATTGCAAATAGTGATCTATGGAGAAGCCTAATGGCAACTGCGATCTGCCACAATCCTACCTTGGTGTATTTGGTACAATGAATTTGGCATACGGTATGTGTTTTAAGTTGTGCCTTATTTTACACTCTGGCTTTAATATTAATATTTATATAAATTGCATATTGCTTTCAAGATTTATAAAAGATCAGAAAGAACATAAATATCAATATCTGGGCTACAACTTCTTTTGACATATTTTCACTTTTTGTTGTTTAGAGTGTAATGTTACTATTGGAACAATAAGCTGTAGTTTCTAGATCAGCAGCAGCATGATAAAATAGCTAGTTGATTTTTTGCCTCTCAAAATATCTATGTATGCATTCTTTCATGTTCTATTTGCAATGCTGCTCTCTGAAGCTAATTATTTGGTTAGTTGAAGGGCCATAGAAATTGGGCTGATGTTTATCTCAAATGAATCTCCTCTGTTAACTTGCAGGTACGTGCCAGCCATCAGAGCTTAGGCCGCTGCTATGGCAGCTCTGCCAACAGGATTGTCACTCTCATCCCTGGTGATGGCATTGGTCCTGAAATCTCAGCTTCTGTGCAAAAAATTTTTGCTGCAGCTCAGGTGAGCAAAAAGGTTGAGTCTCGGTTCTAAGCAATAAGGTTGAGCTGCTCAGGTGCAGCTCAGGTGACTCTCGGTTTTTGAATGTTTAATTGAATGAATTTTTTTTTTGCTTGGAGTTGATGATTTGCATGTCACAACAGTTCTCATTTTTGTATTGAGATGTTTTGGATTCTGTCATAGGTACTTCTCAAGTGTTTATTGCTATTTGCATAAACTTCTTTCAATCTCCATAGATGATGTTTATAATATCCAAAATATAAAGAAACTTTAACTATTGTGACTGCCACTTTTAGCACATTTTCTCATTTATGGAAAAAATTCCCTATTGTGCTCGTTGTGTCTGTCCGTCTGTCTGTCAGCCCATGACTTCACGTTTTCATCGATGAGAAAATGCACTCACTGCAGTGAGTACTGAGTTACCTATATTTTTTTTAAATTTCAGGTACCCATTGAGTGGGAGGTTGTTGATGTAACTCCTGTCAGAGGACCAGATGGCAGAATGGGCATCCCTCAAGCTGCCATAGATTCAGTGAACAGAAATAAAATTGGGCTGAAGGGTCCTTTGATGACTCCTATTGGCAAGGGTCATCGCTCACTCAACCTTGCAATCAGGAAAGAGTTTGAGCTCTATGCCAATGTGCGTCCCTGCAGGAGTCTTGAAGGTAATGTATTAATAAGATCAAACAATGTGGTAATGATTGTTTTCTATTCCTTACTTCCATATTTATTTTCTGATCTCCAGGCAACTGAATTTTTTTTATGTTCAAATGAAAGCTTGATTGCTATATACCTACCTAAGAGATTCATCAATATATTTTTATGTGAAGTTTATTTTAGATGTTATAGTTAATATTTTGTGTTCTCAGGTTACCCAACGTTGTACCGCAATGTTGATGTTGTAACCATCCGAGAGAACACAGAAGGCGAGTATTCTGGCATTGAGCACGAAATTGTTGATGGAGTAGTACAGAGTATCAAGCTCATCACTCGAGCTGCTTCAAAAAGAGTTGCCGAATTTGCTTTTAAATATGCCGAGGACAATGGAAGGTAAGACTAATGGATACATTCAAATACCTATATTTATTATTCAAATTGAAATGCAGTTGGTATTATCAGTTATTTATGTTGATATCATGTGATATTGAAGTAAATAATGTCATCCCATGTGCAATTTTCACACAATTGTTATTATATTATTATTGGTATATATAATCTAGTAGTTACCGAGACATGATTATCTCTTCAGGTCCCGCGTGACTGCCGTTCACAAGGCCAACATTATGCGCATGTCGGACGGTCTTTTCCTGCAAAACTGCAGGGAAGCAGCTGAAAAGTATCCTGACATCAAGTGAGTTTGTCCTGATTAAATTAGTTTTTTCTTTATCTGTTTTGAGTTGAAGCTAGTAATTTTGTTGCATGCCAGTAATGATAAATTTTTGCTATACTTGAATACTATGTTGTGGCTTCTTTCAAGTTCAGTTATGATTTTTGTGTATTATTGAATATATTGTCGCATATATTTGACAATTTTGTATATTGTTGAATTGTTGTCAAATTCTTGTGAGACTGATTAAGTAATCCATATCAAATATAATTTTAGTGAATAATTTCTTCCAACAATATGCGTAGCTCTTAGGACTATTAATGCCTTATTTATAATGAACCTTACAACCACCAGGTTCGACGAAAAGTACCTGGATACGGTATGCTTGAACATGGTGCAGGACCCAAGTCAGTTTGATGTGCTGGTGATGCCGAATCTGTACGGCGACATCTTGTCTGACTTGTGTGCCGGCCTGGTAGGCGGTCTTGGCCTCACAGCTTCGGGAAACGTGGGTGAGGGAGGCGCCGTATTTGAGTCGGTGCACGGCACAGCTCCTGACATCGCTGGCATGGACAAGGCTAACCCAACTGCGCTGCTGCTGTCCGCCGTTATGATGCTGCGTTACATGGACCTGTACGACCATGCTGCCAGGATAGAGAAGGCTTGCTTTGACACCATTAAGGAGCCTGAGAACAGGACCGGTGATTTGGGTGGCAGTGCCAAATGTTCCACCTTCACAGATGCTATCTGCAAGAAAATTGAAGAAACCTAAATAGAAACATGTTAGAAATGGTCACAATAGGACATAGTTTATTGACGATTTATTTATTGGTATTGAATCGAGTCATTAATGAGTCTAGCTCTCGAGTTAAGTTTTCAGATTTTTATACTTCATTAAAACACTATCTTTGATGTTATAGATCTGAATTTGCTTAACAAAATTTAGTTTTCTTTATGTATTCGAAGATAAAAATTTATGAGCATTTAACATGAGTTAGCCTAAGTCTCATTTTCATTGCTTTTGTTAGACCCAAGTGCACTCTCAGTATTACTGCGATCAAAACATGTGTTCATTGCTGACTTGGATTATATTACTGGTAGTTTGCAGCGCAATCTCATCATGGTGGATAGTATAGTACTTTCGAGCTTCCTGGAGCCATCAGATCTTTGTTATATTCTCTTACAATTGACCATTGCTGGAGTTTTTCATGACCATACTATGCTCAGGCGTCTATTTGTAATCAAAACAAGGTACGTCGCCATAGCAGTGCAGTATGGCTGCTGTTGTTACAACAGGTGTACATATTCCTTAACTCTTGTATAGCTCCAACGCCCTCATCAGTATATTTGTTGTCATCACTTCTCCGTCTTTTGCTTTGCCCTCTCTGTGAGTTTTTTTTTCCTCCTGGTGAATTTGATGAAACCGAACTCTGTGTGAAATTCATAAATGCAATTTTACATAAGGCTTCATTCTTTTTCATATTGTCCTACCCGAGATCCATCTGTGAGCTTGTAGATGAAAAGTGACATAATTTTGTTGAAGCTTCTTCAATTATTGTTAGTGAAATGATTTTTTCTAAATCATTGAGGCACACAATGTTGGTGTTATGTAGAAGTGACCGCAAGCTAATTTGTCATCAGATATTTTTGTGTCACAATTCTAGTCCCAACGGGGGGTGCTAACTCGCCACAGTCAGCGCCTAGAGAGGATGGGTGACGACCTCTCGGGACCCTAGTCACTATCCTGGTAATGTGTTCCTCGTAAATATTAGCTCAATATAAAATTATAAGTTTACCTGCAACAGCGGTTGCGGCTGAGTAAACTCTCTGTCGTTAGATAATAAAAACTATTATCTTCGAAATTATCCATATTTATTTCGGTCATTCATGATAATAATCGGAAGTTTGTGATCTTTATTCTGTATTCAATAATTCATACCCAGCGAAAAATTCAGAACCAAATTGAGCTAATTAATTGATTTTTATTCTCGTGAATAGAATTTTCAATTCCAAGTTATTTTCGTTTGTGAAGGTATTAGGATGAAATTTCAATTTTCGATCATCTATCTAATGCTCTATTTCATTGAATAATTAACGTATTCCCGCAGTTTTTTAAATGTATTTAGCAAGGAACACTTGACGATATTGTAACTAATTTAAGAGGATGAATGGAGTTGATTTTCTACTGTCGGTGGGCTCCTGCCGACGCTGCGCGCTCATTCACTGCGGTGTTCGCAACTACGCTTACTTCGGCTCGTCATCCTGCGTGGACGCGAAGCTCGATGAAATACGACGGTCAAATCGCCAGTTCGGAGCGCTAGACTTCAATGCGCCAAATTCGTTTACTTCAAATTTAGAAACAAACCAAGATGAGCCTCAGATCACCTCGCTCAATTTAAAACCTTCAGATCGAGAACTTATTTCAAACGATGACATGGAGGAAGGTATGGGCCAAAACCAAACCATCTGCGTGTCGTGCATCGGGCTCTTGCAAGAGTTTGGATGCTCCATGGAGGTCATCTCTAAAGTAAGTGTGATTGTTATTGTAGTGATAATGATTGCAACGGAACTATTTTAGCAGAAGGCATCGATTCAGACACTTGCTTTTAATTTATTTTCAATTGGGATAAATATTGAATTCATAAATCGATATTATTCATCGGAAATGCCCTAGAAGTTCTAATTTCAAAGGATACTTCCCTCAATGTTATTATTGGTTTAGTTCTCTATAGACCCACAGTTTTCCAGTTCTTGTTAATTTTCACTCTGTTATATGCTACTCTCTACACGTCTTTACCTAATGCTTGCTAAATTATATGTTTTCTTAATACAAGGCATCCCTGCTTATCGTATCACTCAGGTCTGCGAGCGTGCGCTTGCCGAAAACTATGACGCGACTTCATTCAGCTTGAACATTTCACTACCTGTGAGCATGAGTGTCCGCGGTCACGTCTTAGCTGCCCATTTCAGCAAACATAATTTGGGTGACACGTCCAAAGTAAGTCCAAAATTTCCAACTGCTACTTTGTCTGTCTCGGTTTTATAGAAAAATCGCAAGTTAGGTGTAGGAAGAAAATTCTTTAAAATAATTTCAGTTATTTCAGTACATTTTCAGATATTAATTTCGTTAATATTTTGCATTGACAGTCATATCAATTATTTATGATTTAAATAGTTATTGTGGGTGTGTTGTTAGGTTTTCATTAATTTACTCATTTTTTTGCAGGTTCTTGGTGCAGGTGTTACCACCGCAATCAAGGACGCTTGGAAAGCTATCGTGTCGAGCGTCGCCGCGTCTATCCTCAAGAAGCGGTACGCGGGGGACGCGGCCGAGCTGTCCGTGCCCTGCTCGGCCGTGTACGATGCCGACGCGCAGGAGTGCGCTGCTGTCATGTAAGATAATGACTTCCTGAATAATGGCAACTTTCTTATGAATTGTCCACAAGGCTAATTTTTATCAACGAGAATTTTTTTTAATAATTCTTGATACAGATTTCTGGAAGGGGAGCTGATATTGCCTTCAATTCATTTTGCTGCATATACGAGGGGCATCCGGAAAGTAGTACTCGTTTGGTAATTGAACAAAAGGAAGTAAATATTAACAAATGTAAACATGTTTATTGAAAAGAACATGTATTACACTACTTCTCTATACAATCTCCGGACAAATTTAAGCCAAGGACTACTACACACAGGACATGCATAGCCTATGTCCAGCCTCTGCTAGCAGAGGCGATCGCCTACACTATGAAAATGCTGTACTACTACACACATTGTAATACTATTGTATGAAACAATTATGGGCATATAATTTGTTGATGCCACTAAAACACCAGCATTTTCATAGTGTAGGCGATCGCCTCTGCTAGCAGAGGCTGGACATAGGCTATGCATGTCCTGTGTGTAGTAGTCCTTGATTTAAGCATTTGTCGTATCGTGTCACGAGTTTTTGAATACCAGTGTCATATTCCTCCGCCGCCAGTGTTTCTGGATCGGCAAGGTGTAATGCTCATCGATTTTATAACTCGTTTAGACACAATCAAGGCCAATGCATATAAACAGCATATTGTGCAACATTAAAAAAATAACGGCGATCAATTCAAAATCGACGGCGAGGTCTGTTGTCTACTGGCGTCATTTTCCTGCACGATGATGCCAGGCCACATACGGCTCGGATAACACAACAACTTCTCCAAAAATTCAAGTGATAAATTTTCGACCATCCACCCTACAGTCCGGACTTGGCTGCTTCTGATTTTCATCTGTTTACGAAACTCAATGACTTCGTGGCAGGGACAACGTTTCAAAATGACGAAGAACTGAAAGAACACGTGACTGCGTATCTCAATACACTGGCGACGGAGGAAAATGACACTGGTATACAAAAACTCGTGACACGATACGGCAAATGCTTAAATTTTTCCGGAGACTATGTAAAGAAGTAGTGTAATACATGTTCTTTTCAATAAACATGTCTACATTTGTTAATATTTACTTCCATATGTTCAATTCCCAAACGGGTACTACTTTCCGGATGCCCCTCGTATATTATAAGTACCGTACCGGTACTACTTGATCTCTCATGACTCTATATTATGTCGGTGCAAGTATCGATTTATTAGCATTAACTGAGCGTTTTTGGCGTTCTATAATTTCGTTGCAAGCTCTTTGGTGAACAGAGGTTGCTTTCACACTATTGATCTTGCAGGTCTTTGATTGGATACTCGGGTCCAACTGTGAAACGACAGAGAAACCGGAGACAAAGATTTTACAAGAATACTAAAAAATTTGCCGTCAACAATAACGAAGAAACGTCAAACGAAAATCATACCACAGCTGAAGAAGATCTCGACTCTGGATTAAACGATTCCAATTTCGCAAAAAATGATCAAGATGACACAATGAAGTCTGATGATTCCGAGACAGGATACAGTCGCCAGACGGTCGAAACTGTTTTTTCTGGCCGTACGGTTGAGCTTGTCACAAGGCTGTGTCCTCTAACGACTCTCTCTGTACCTCAAACTTCCATTTCTCTTGTCCAAGAAACGCCAGTGAGAGAGGCTGTCTACGTTGCAGGTTAGTGATATTTTCTCACGTTACGTTGCAGGTTAGTGATGTTTCTCTTTTTCTCTCTAAATTATCAATTGCTATTTTCATATTCGCTATCAATGCAACTCCGAGACTTGTTGCTTGAGCCAAGGACGATTTCAGTGTGCAAACCTCGCTCGTGGATATTAACCTTGAATCCATTTTGCAGGGTTGATTGGCATTGCAAAGTTCTACCAAAATACCATGATTACCTCAAAATATTTTTGCATGCCCGACGTATGCGATTGGAATTTTTTCTGTATAGGCGATATATTACTTGGATGAATGCCATAGATGCTACTCCACGTTTCAGGTCGGTATTGTAAGTATAGCAGAGAGCTGTGCCAGACGCCATGGGTCGTTAATGGCGTGCAAAAGTGTAGCGAGAGCGTCGAAGAGCTCATCTCAGCCATCATCTTGCCTGCGTTCAAGGCGCCAGGTAATATAGTGAATACGTGCTTCTATATAGTTGAAAATATTGACGAAGCTGAAAATTAAAAAACTTTATTGGGGTATTGCGATTGAGTCTGCAAATATTTTTCTTCATTTATTACTCTGAGCTTTCTCGTAGACCCAGGATCAGATGCCCCATGCGATCTGATCAATCTTTACGGTTTGTTTATTTTTGAATTGTTTTCAACAGAGCTGAAGTTCCTATCAAGTGGTCGTGAGGACGTCGACGTGCGCTGCGTGGGTCGAGGGCGGCCCTTCGCGCTGTGCATACTGAACGCTCGCACCGCCTCCCACCCGCCTCGAGAGTTGCGTCGCCTTCAGGAGGTCATCAACTCCAGCACCCCACACATCTCGGTGGCTCACTTGCAGATTGTTGACAAGTCAGTCGGTATTTATTTTCTGTTTGGATCCTAATTTTCAGCTACTTTTTTTCTTGATTTTTATATATAAAATTTTAAACTATGATAAATCGATCTATCCATTGATATAGATTGTAAAACATTTATGTAATGAAGAACGATTGATGAGTTTCTTAAGCGCAATTAATTGCAATACTAACTTCATTTCATGACATGGAAAATCGTGTCGGACGAAATAATATTTCAGTTTCGGAAAACACGTTTTTAGTTTTTATTATTCCCCTAAAATGCAATATCATTTTGTTGATTAACTTGTAAATCACTTTCATGAGGATAAATAAATCTACCTTTTCACAGAGAGAGTACATCAGTACTGCGGTACAACACAGAAAACAAAGTGAAGAACTACTGCGCTCTGTGCTTAGTGCGAGGAGACGTGATCGTGACAGCAGAATTCTTGCAGCCTCTGCAGGGCTGCACGCCTCTCGTCGTCATGCAGCAGACGCCTCTACGTGTGCTGCACAGGCGACCGCTGCTCACCCGTCCACGCACGCTGCACGCGATGTCTGCTGAGCGCGTTAACGACAAGTTCTTCAAGGTGCTTTCAAATTACTACAGATGAATAATTTCAGGACGCATGTCGTAAAGTCTAAAAAATTTAAGATATTTGGTATATACGCATCATTCATGAAATAAACTGAATTGCCATTTATTAGATTATTTGCGCAAGATCGCATGGCTCAGTAGTGGCTGTTTGAATGTCGTCAAATGACTATTTGATTGTTATTTATCTACTCAATTAAAGGAGTAAGTGGAACTGCGCGTAGAACAGTCGACCATGATTTTGATTTTACTGGGGTGAAGAGACACGAATAAACTAGTTATCAAGCAAATTATAACATTTAATAAGATAAATGGCCGAAATACATTGCCAAGGATGCGCTCCTTGCATGTTTCGTTTAACGCTGTCAACTTCATTGATTTGTTAATGGAGTAACCATACCGCAATATCCACGAACACCTTCAACCTCAATGCGATATAAACATGAGAATTTGTACAGGTGCACGTACGCACGGAGGCTGGAATGTACGTCAAGGAATTGGTGCATGGCGACTTCGGGAGAACCACGCCGAATTTATCCTTACTTCTGGCCTACCCCGTCGATATCGTTGCTTTGGACGTGACGGTTTGTTAAATCCATTTATAGTATAGTGCTGACCATATTTTTGAGCCATTTATATATCATTAAAGGCATGATAGCATAATTTGTTTGGGAAATAATTCAGTATGATCGATCAAGTTAAATGTAGATCATCTTCTCTCAACTCCAGATCAGTTCACCGGTGCATGTTTGTTCGTTTAATTTATTTCGGTATCTTTCACAGAATGTGGAATTGGACTGGCCAAAAGAAGTAACAGAAGATGACGCCTGCTGAGGAGATGAGGAAATAATACAAAAGCTTAAATTTACATATTAGTATTGGCCATGAAAATAAACATGGCTGGTAAAATTTTGCATACCCAGTCATTTTTGAACACTTGAATTGTTTAACGCCTGAAGAATGCACTTGGGCCGGCGATGAATGCTGTTCCGTGGTTAGGTGAACCTACAGCTTGCACGTTGAAGTTTTGATCAAAAGTGGGGAACGCTTGCCCTGGGGAGAAAGATGGGAAAACTTGTTCTGAGAAGAAGGGCTGAAATTCTCGAGCTGTGTAGAATACTGGCAAATCTTGGTTGTTGATGGCGATGGGTACGCTCAGTTCCTGCAGAGTTGGTTGCTGGTCGAACACATTCAGGGTGGAGCGGAACAGAGATGGCAACATTGCCTTCCCGTTGCACACGTCGACTGTGGGTAGACATTCGCTTGAGTAAATTACAGAGTGTACGAATTTTCGAGCAGAAAATCTTGAATATGTGTCACTTTGACGTTCAAGTAATTGTAACACGTTACGTTTTAGTTATGAATTATAGCATTTGCTGAAATATTTTACGGTACCTAATTTAAAATTTAATACAGCATCTCATCAGCCATTTTTTCTATTTAATGTGTAGCGTCTTGCGTGTATTTCCGAGTAAATAAAATAATTTCACTACTTCAATTTGTTTTCTTAATTTCCTAATAAATCTTAGCGATTGTTTTTTATAAGTGAACAATCTTTTTAATTGTTTATTGTTCAAGTTATGCCTTCAGGAAGCTTCCTATGAGCCCTTCTCACCCTGGTCTCTGTAGGTGCACATTTGCCTAGCTTGGTCGAACACGAGCTCTTGGCCGTTGAGCGTGACGCAGACGTACTGGATGCCCTCCTTGGGGCACGGCTCGTACACGTTGCAGTACGTGGCGCTTTGCACGTATCGAGCGGGGCAAGCCTGGCCAATTGATGGTCACGTTAGTTGTTGGTTATACGGTCTCATCTTCCCGGCGTATGACGTACTGGTCTAGTTGTTATCACTTGTATTGTATTTGGTTCTAACAGTGGTTCTTAAACTGATTCCCATAATTCTAATGTAAAAGCTGCTAGTAAGGAGTTAAATGCTTTTTGGTGGCAATATCCACACTCACCCCTCCAGCAGCTGCTCCAGGATAAGCTCCTCCTCCAGCAGCAGCACCACTGCCTTCAGTAGCATCACCACTGCCTCCAGCAGCTGCCCCGCCATCGCCACCAGGTGGCGGGTAAGTTGCCCCTGGGCCAACACTAGTAGTGCCGGTCGCTCCTGCTGCCCCTGGAGGCGGGTAGGCTCCTTCTCCCTACGTCATAGCAAACAAAAATGTTATCTTGAGTGCTTCTCTCACCTCACACGGCCAGTTGAAACCCTTTTTTAAAACTTAATTGACTCACCTCATCATCGTATTGAACAAATTACAATGCACATTTTTATTTGTTAGAGCTACTCAATATGCCAAGAATATTTCATGTTTCAATTCAGTAATGAGAAGAAGATATGTTTCAATTCTCACCGCGCCTGGTTGTGGTTGTACTACGCCGACCGTCACTGGGACCGGGACAGTGTTAGACGGACCACCTTCAGGCGATCCGATGGCTCCCGCTGACCCAGGCTGAGGGTAAGTAGACCCTGCTGGTGGGAAGGATCCGACTGGAACTGTACCCACCGGTGGAGATGATCCACTAGGTTGTGGATAAGCAGATCCTGCTGGTGGGAAGGATCCGACGGGTACTGTACCCACAGAGGGAGATGATCCACCTGGCTGAGGATATAAACCAGTTTGTGCTCCAGCAGCTGAGACGGGTCCACTTATTTGTCCAACCTGTCCTGGTTGAGCGCCAACTTGTCCAGGCTGCGGATAAGCCCCACCGACAGGTACAACAGCGGATCCACCTCCTACAGGCACCGCCACTGTTCCGTCTATCGGGATGACAGCTCCCGCAGGCGTAGGGACATCCATGAAAATTTGCTGGTGGGGGTCGTAGCCCGACGGAGGAACTTGGCTCACGAGGCCTGAACTCCCTAGGAAATTGCAACTTAATTAATTTTAAGACACATACGATATTTTAGCGCCAAGTGAGGTAAATTCATACTGCATTATATATTAGCCAAAGTAAGTCTGAAAGCAATAAAGTCATGGTGAAATTGGAAAATACAAACAATTTGAGAACATGGTCACACTAAATTCAGATAAACATTTTAGTTCTTTTTACTCACCTGGACAGTTTCCAGGGACACACGTGTTCTTTCCCACAGCCAGGAACACTTGACCTGCCGGACACTGGAATTCATATGGGCTGAAATACTGTCCGGTGCCTGCATAGTCGACGCATCTGAAGAAGAAATTGCCCAGCCGCGTGGAATGTTTAATAGATTTATCTTCACGTGAATAGATAGTAGTTTTTGAGACAACTTAGTAATCACACTAATGATGCATTATGTTGAAAAAGTGTCATCCTCATTTGAATGTAGCAGCAAATGTAATAAAACAAGCAAATTATTCATGAAAACTTGAATTACGCCAAATTTATAACGAAAGTGATGAATCAATTGACAAGGAAATACCTGTAGAATCGGGAGCAGTTAGTGGGGTGTGCAAAGAATCCTTCCGAGGGGCAAGGGAGAGTCGCTGAGGATCTGCCTTGGTCCACAACCGGTGTCGCCACCACCGGATTGGGGTATACATGGTAGAACTGAGGCACTAGTGGACCTGAAATTATAATTTGGTCTGCATGAGGTACTTCAAGATGTGCATGAGTATTGGGGCCGTAGTATAGACAGATTACTTTGGTGATTTCTGATACATTAAGGTTTCTGTAAGCTTTAATCTCAATTTCAATGTGGTGTTGGCTGATTGGCATGGAGAAAGACGAAGAAAAAATGCTTTCGGGTAAAATTATCAATTAAAAAGTTGTATTAAAATAAATTAACTTAGGAAGGATGAAGGCCGGAATAGTCGACTTTAGCCATAATGATATGGAATCTTGCAAATACACACAAATTTCATCGTCTGCTTACCGTGAGTGGCAAAGAAATCGAATGTTGGCAGAAAGCCGGCCGAGACAGCAGTAGCCAGCAGCAGTAGCTGTGCCGCGGCATGTTTCATATTGTTCAATGCCGTCATCTGTTAAATGAAATAATCTTGTATTCATGTAATAACAAAACAATTGTTTCCTGCTTTTGAGCCAAAAAAATCAAGAAAACTTTAACTAAGCCTTGTACATGAAACAGCGCGAGTTATGTATGTAGTTCTTCTGACTCGAATAAATAATAAATAAAATAAAATAGAGCGCACTTGACTTGTTTATGGTCGTCTTTGTATGCAAGGGAACTCATCCTGCTTTCTGCAGCGGTATATCGCCCGGGCGTAACCGGTTGCTGACCCGATGCAGCTCGAGCTCGTCGCTCTTGATTGCCGACGAATATAAATGACTACCATGCATGGTTATGAATTAAACTTCAGTTATTGTAACACAACAATTAAACGCCACATCACAGAACTTATTTTAAACATACCTTTTCATTTAAGTTGAACTGCGTTTCGGAACACGGAAAAGAGTATTTCTTATTAGATGTATTTCATGTTAAATAACTGGGTGTAAACAAATTGGAGGAAAATTTGTACATCGGTATTAATAATCTTATTTGGTATGAGTCTGATACGATCATAGTGCTTTCGTAGATTAACGAACTATATTCTCAAAAGTATTCAATATCATAATATCTAGAACAAAAAAAAAACATACGTTCTAAGTGAGAAATTGATACAAAAATTTTTCCTGTAAAGTCGGCAAATAAATCAGTTTTGTTCTATTGAATCGCGGACAATAAGTTCCCTACATGATTCTTAACAACACCACGCATAACATACGAAGTTGACATGCACCTGAACGGCAAGGCTGGCATACTTTAATTTGTCCTGAATATACTCACCGTGCCGAGTCTGGATCGCAAGTGAGGCTGACGCCAAAGTCTCAGCAGCTCCAGCAGGTCTGGAATAACTGAACCTCTAAACCGCTGCACTCGATCTCTATCTGACAGCAGCAAAACTGCTTTTGTTCTGCCATTATTAGGACACGGGTGCTGGAATATAGCAAAGTTGCGGAAGGCGAATCAATTTAATTGAGTGAAATTATTCTTGTTGAATAAAGTGAACTCGTTTTCATTCAATAGATTACAGCTTGGACACCATCGTAGCAGTGTTGATCGAGCTCTACCGTAATGCACTCGGTCGTTAATTTATTGCAATCCTGCTTAGATCATCCTTCTTTTATTTGGATTGCATTTCCGAATTTCAACGAATTTCTGATGAATTAAGAATTTTGAATTGGTGACAGCTAGCTGATAGGTGTTTGGAAAAGGATAAGCGATGTCAACCGGGCAAACCTTAGAATTTGAAAAAAAATTTCTTTATTACAAACATTTTATTGGGTGTTCTGCATCGAGGCTTGAACAAATGGACAGTATTTTTGTAGCACTATAATTTGAACTTTAAATTTTTAAAATTTTGATGAAAAAATGATGAATTTATTTACAGTTCTCTAATTTGTTTGTGTGTTACATCATGTAAAAAGTACAATGATCACTAAATCGAATATGAAAATAAAAGTAATCCATAAATAAATTTTTAATCGCTGTATAAATTTATGAGGTAGCTGAGGTTTCATTCATTGATTGAATTTAATATGTATTCTAGCCGATTTGAGTCGAATACATGGACAATATCAAGAGCTCAATATCGGTCGAAGCCGGGGAGCGGCATCAATTCTTATTTGTAGTTCCTACAATACTCGTAAGGCAACCTCATGTCTTCGACTTCAGGCATAACTTAATCATGAAGGAATATGCAATGACATAGCTGCGTACGATATTGTTTTCTTATAATCTTTTATAGACAGAATCCAATGGCACCTTGAAAATCAAAGAAAGATTAATTTGAATTTTACTTTGGCCAGCGTTTAGAGAAAAATGTTTATTTTACAGGTACGACTACAATATGCATGCTTGGAGTATCAATGAAAACTACAGAAATAATCATTCATGATCGAATGAAAGGATGCAGATACCTGTATATGTCGTGCCGAAATCGCGGAATCGCCGATTCTATGGAATCGGCAGCCAGTTTGCCGAATCAGCATATCTATACTATAAGAATCTAGGGTTAGGTCAGTCAGCCAAGTTCTTTTTTAAATATTTAAATATAAAGTAAATTGATCGAGCATGACTTTACCTTTTGTAACTCTAATGGTCGATTCATGTTCAAATTCTAGCTCTAACGTCCGATTTTCTAAATCAGCAGCGAAACACTGATTCTACAGATTCGGCAAACTGGCTGCCGATTCCATAGAATAAGCAGTTCCGCGATTTCGGCACGACATATATAAGTTCAAGTTGAGTGGTGGCAGTAAGGTGTATTCTTGTAAGTAAAGGCAGTGTTGCACTTTGGGCTGACATTAGCACAAAGTACTAATTTGAAGGCTCAGGACTAGGGGCGCCTGAACGTTCCTAGAAAAGCACAGCAATCGAAATAAAATATTAAGCTGGGAGCGTCCCTGAACCAGTTTGATGCTCATGCGTCCGTCGCGGCTTCGCCAATTTGAAGAGGCCTGCCAAATACACCTCTAGTGCAGGCCGGGTTCTATGTATTTCTTTCCAGCATTTTATACCTTGTGTCGTTTTGAACTATCAAAGTCATGACGATACCGAAAAATTGATTCATAAACTTTCCTTATTTCTAGTGTCAAGTAAAATCTCAAAATCATTTTAAATCCATGAGTGCATTTATTGAAAAAGGGTAATTTTAATCGATACAGTTTTTTTTCATAGCAAGTAAATCAGTATCAAACTATGCATAATCATTACTATATAACAATTGATATGACAGTGAACTAATAAATTTGCTCAACTGGCGCTCACTATCAGTTGGTTGATCACGACTGCATCAGACATATTTATCAAATTAGATCACCAGAAAATAGAGCACGCACAGGGTTGCAGCCCATCTACAGGCTCGCCGGTTATGGCTCGTCCGCCCTTGAACTTTAGAGCTCCGGGCGAGGGCGATGACTGTCGCCCATCACTGCCGTACCTCTTTCCCGGTGATGTGCTCTAAGCAAGGAATACTGGCAATGGACCTCTTTCCCAGTGATGTGCTCCAAACAAAGACTGTCGCCCGTTACTGCTGGACCTCATCCCGCCATATGTTCTCCATGCAGACAGGGAGTGTCGATCATCACACAAATACCCTTTCTGACTTCAGACTTTCCACAAATCACCAGAATTTATATTGAATACTGATATGAAAATTTGGAGGTGAAATTTAATTATTTTTTTTTTCGTCAAAAGTAACGATATGACAGAAAAAAAGTATGACGTGTAACATCACTATATTATCAAAGACGTGCAACATATATAATTCCAGGCTTGAAGGACAAGTCTCATGAAAAAAGATTAAAGATTATGAAGCTTCCAAGCCTCTGTTATCGACGTCTGCGTGGGTACCTCATTGAAGTATAAAACCATACGGTACTCATGGTTTATACAAGGTCCCAGAAGGATTATTAGAATTTGAAACAAGAACCAACACCAGGGGCCACGGCTATAAAAAAGTTGCAACTCGCCCATGCGACAACATTGCTGCTCACTTCGAATCACCATGTGGAACAGTCTCCCTGATTACATCGTTGACGCTCCGAGTATGAACGCGTTCAAGAACATACTAAATAAAGCGATGGATAAATATATGTTCAGACTTGAAAAGCCTATAATAGCACCATGTCGAACAGTGGAAGTCAAGTAGCTATTTCAAACTCACGTCAGTTTTCAAAAGATGTGGTCAAAGGACCTGCTTTTAGATCAACTGTGAACAAGTCACGAAAAGTTCACGAATCAGCAACAGGCCACATCAGGCCTATTCTTCAGCGCCGACATCACTATGATATGATATGATATGACATGATATGATAGGATATGATATGATATGATATGATATGATATGATATGATATGATATGATATGATATGATATGATATGATATGATATGATATGATATGATATGATATGATATGATATGATATGATATGATATGATATGATATGACATGATATGATAGGATATGATATGATATGATATGATATGATATGGTATGATATGATATGATATGATATGATATGATATGATATATGATATGATATGATATGATATGATATGATATGATATGATATGATATGATATGATATGATGTAATAATATAATAGCGGTTTCAGCGTTTATTAGGCCGTAGGCCTGTCGCCGATTCTTAACATCGCAGAACATTCACAGCATTTTGAGGTCTCTAACGCGCAACTCACTGCTACAATTCTGCTGTGCTTAACCGCCCGGCCTCCTTGCCGATTCTGACCAGAAACTGGCGCACAGAGCTGGGATCGAACCCGCGCTTCTCGGCTCCAATCTTTGTACTCTGAACTGTAACCACTATTGCTTCAGAAATTAGTTCAAGATAATAATTTAATTGCATCGCTAAGATTGCAATTTTATCAGAAATAAAGTTAGTAGACGATACGATTCAACTATCCATGGGTCATTACATGGTGTATTTTCCATTGACGTATGTTGAAAGTTCCAGCACTAAATGTGAGACTCACTTATCAAATCCAGATGCTCACGGTGAGCATAGCCTGGGTATGTACTATTTTTTTAAATTTTTATTTGTCTTCACTACACTGTATTATGATTAGGCACTCTACATTTCACATGAAAGAAGACTGCGTGAAATCTTCATTCCATTAATATCTCCTGCTTCTTAATCCCTGAGTTTTGCGCTCGTCCGTAATATTAGACGGCGCGTTAAGAAAATAAATGAGAGGAAAACCCTTACCCTTTTTCTCCGTAAGGTGACATTCTAAACTTTGTTTACAGCTGAAAAGTTTAGGTGTAGGTGATTAGATTTCAGCTAGGTGGATTATCCGAAAATTAGCCTTTAAATGCTCGTATTCAGATTAGAGACCACGCCTCATCACACACTTATACCGCGGCACACAACACCGATGTAGCGTTTCGTTCTTTTTGGACTTGGTATGCATCGTACTTCATGCAAGGAGTGCTTTATAGGCAAAAATGGAACAATTAATTTTATATCATTTATGATATAAATGATATCATTAATATCATTTATGATATCTAGAAGCGATTTTAAATCTACCGTCCGTAAGGCCAGTCTAGTCAAGAAAAGTACAAGAATCGGCGACAGGCCTATTCAGGCCTATTCTTTAATGCCGAAGATACTATACTATACTATACTACTATGATACACAATGCATTTTAAGGGGTGAAGGCGACGCCGAATAACATCCAAAATAAACGAATTATAATTGGCTGACACGCTAAATAATGAAGTAACGTGATAACATATACTTTCATCTTCTTGACTGTATAAAAAATTGAAATATTAATAGTTAAACAGAAATTATATTAATGTCAATAACTAGGTTATGTTAAGGCTTGAAACTAATTCCTATCACTTTTTGTTGATGTTTACCTTCAAATGTCCTGTTTTCTACAGTGAATTGTCATAGAAAACGCGATATAAATCTGATCATGGAGAAGCAAGTCTATGTCATTCAAACCTTAGAACACCAAGTCATTGGTAAACTATAAGTCATTTCCAGATTTTTATGGCAAATTAAATTTCCCGTTATTTTCATTTGGAATCTGTTGTAGAATTTATTTGTCGGAAGCTAGAATAGCGTGTGACAAATCTAATTAATTTGGAGCTTATCATACCAGTAGCATTCTATTAGATACAAAGTTTGGGTAAGATTTCATTTTTTTCCCCTCATTTTGAAGTGGGTTCGCTACATCGGTTACATAAAATTAATGTTGCCACATATTTAAATTATTCGCCGATGATTATAAACTTTATGAATACGTTTTTTTTACTAGAAATTAGATACAGAAACATGACGGAAAAATATTTTTGTGTGTCAGAATTTAAAATGGAAAGTCAAACCAATTGTTAGGTGTTTTGATGAGCAGTCAGTCATATGATACAGGAAGTACTCGCGCGAAAATATATGTGCTCAGTAGCTCGCTACGAAGCAAAATGC